ATAATCGGAGCATTTACACCATGAACGCTGTGTGTGACCCTGGCAAAGCGCTCATATCACTGTTTCCCCGCTAGCTAGCTGCAGGGCTGTACTGTGAGGTTGCTATCAGACACTCCTGCCTACAGGGGGCTCTCTAGTTTGTCTATGTGATGGCGGTCCAATTTTCCCAGGACCAGAGGGGCAATGTGGAATAATATAGTATTTTTCAGGGAAGGAAGACAATTTCCCTCTATCATCTGCAACTACATTAATTATTTATCACAGTGTAAAAATTGTGCAGTATTGTTATTCTCTGTGTGTTAGAATCATCAGGTAACCTGAATAGACTGTCTGCCTCTGCCCTCTTTTTTCTTCACAGACAACACCAAGTGTATCTACTTTATTGACCTGTGCAGAGCCATCAGCCACAGCTCTTATTGCACGGACACCGGATAGATAATCAAATCGTTTCTAGTCTGTTAAACACTGTCTGAGACACAGCCTTGATCAACAACGGCAACATATTCTGGGAAGTGATGGCCTTCAATTGTTTATTTGACTCAATATCACCATTCATTGAAAAAGTCAACTTCTCGTATCACAGTTAATATATTGACTAGAGGGCTAATTTATATTTTACAGACCACAGAGTTCTGGACAAGATAGACCCTGCAGAGATTGGTCTATTCTGAGGCAATTTGATGAGAACAGACATACAGTATGGGAGTGAATGGTGCACATGGAATGTACCTCAGTAAGTATGTGGATATGGATACAGCGATGGAAACAAAGCCGTAAAACCATGTTCAGTACATAAAACAATACAAAATATTTGAACATGTCACTTCAAAATGCACTAGACACAAAGATGAGAGATGGGGTTTGTATTTGTCTAATTGACTAAAAGCAAGATAAGTAAGAGACAAATATATGGGAGAAATATACAAAGAGATTACAACATTTTATCTCAGAGAAAGGAGACACTGCACTGAATAAGAGAAACAGGGTTTATTTGAGCACATCAATCCATTTTGAGTACAAGCCTCAGGCCAAAGGATGTGATATAACCATATTTGATAACAATTTCAGATAACAGTAATTGCCTATTCAATCTGACGTGTCGTCATCGTATGAAAATGAATGTCTAACATGGATTACTATGAGCCTGTGCACCATTTCATGTTTATTGACAAAGACTGTTGAGGTGCAACTGATGGCGTGTGTGTGTGTGTGTGTGTGTTTGAGTAGGGGTGGGAGGTGATCCCTGCACAGTTTTGATTGTTATTTCAACAAAGCTTCTTAATTTTATTCGCACAAACAACAGGAAGTGACAGACGCAGTAGCTGGAGGTCTCTTGCAAAAGTCCTAATACAGTTACCATCTGTTGATTTGACTTTTTTTCATACAGATGTAGGATCTTAATTTGAGCCAGTTTGCTACAGCAGGAAAAGAATCCTGCATTAAAAGGAAATGAGATTTGTTATGTGGATTGTAATTAATGCAACATTTGTGTAGGGGCTGATACATTTTTCGTTAGCGCAAATCAAGTCTGAAAATTCAAAGTGGAAATTACAAACTTTAGGGAGAGGTCTAAATGTACACAATTGTTACCCGGAGGAAAATGGGGGCGGGTCATACTTTTTCAATTTCAGTCAGGGGGAGATGGACACGGAGATGGACAGCGCATGGGTGCTGAAAGTAGGCCAATTTGAGATTGATTTAGAACCACAGAGAGTTACCGCAAGTCGCAAAGAAAACAGGAGCTGCCTCCACTATTCCAGCACCATTTCAACTTCAACATTTCAACATCATCAAATCACCTCTGATTAGTCTAATACAGTGACAACTAAAAGATACCAAAAACGATTTAGTCCAATCAATTAAGCTAAATATGTGGCTGTCCATGGTTCTGATTTCTGTGTGCATGTGTGCATGTGTGCGTGTGTGCATGTGTGTGTGTGCGTGCGCGTCCGTGCAAGAAGAAAAATATGTTGACTCACCCTACTTGTAGAGAAACGCTAATGCCATCCTCCTCTCTTTCATGTTGATGAAACGGTCTATCACTCTGTCATACAGTACATGCTTTTATTTGTTATTGTCCTAGGCTACCTGGCTAAAATGCTTGTTCGCTAGCCATACTTCCATTCAGGGCAACGTTAGTTAGTTAACATTAGCCTTCTACATCTAGCTACATATTGAACTTCTATCCTCTCAGGCCAGGGGCTCAACAATGTATGAATTAATGGTTGGATCAGAAATCGCTGTTATAATCATTGGCCAGTATGGAGAATTAAGTAAAACCACAAGTCGAAATCCCTATCTCCATCCATGGCTAGTTTAGGAAAAGGTCAATTTTAGCTAGCTAGCCACCGGAGGACAACAACACAACGAGACGCAACAATTGAAGTTTTTCTGTCAATGACATATGCTCTCAATGAGATTTGATAGGAGTGATGCCAAAATCCAAGTTGGCTTCCCTTGACACTTTTTTTTAGGTGCGCCAGGACCATTCACAGTTGTGCTCGCTCAGTTTAACTCAACGCTGATTGGCTAATGTTTTATACTTTTTTTTATCAAGGGAGGCGAAGTGCTCGCTGGCTTCCCTTGTCTTCAATGCTACGGGTGGCAACAATGTTATACTCGTTTCGACCAGACAGCATCAAATAGATGGCCAACAAGTACAAAGACAGAGGGCCGCTGTTTGGCTCGTTCGGATGCGTTCTCCTGTGAGATACATTCAGCCTCTTGCCAATTGAGGGAAAATTATGAAACACAGGGAGGAAAGTTAAATTATTTTAAATGTTTTGTAAATGTTTTATTGTCCAATTTTTGGGGGAAACCTGGCTTCCCTTGGCATCATGAATACACGCCACTGCTATCAATTGATGTTCAAAATTTCAACAGGCGATTACATTTTTACATTTTAGTCATTTAGCAGACGCTCTTATCCAGAGCGACTTACAGTTAGTGCATAAACATTTTTTATACTGATTAAACAACATACTAACTCTAAATCAGTCAGGAGAAAGCCAGGTAGCCTAATTAATTATTTAGGCTATATTATTATTATTTCAAGGCTATAGCCTGCCATTTAAGAAATAAATTGTGAAGCATTTGTGTCACGCTACAGGCTGGCAGGAACACTCAGCATTTCAACAATACATCAACAACAGCACTTCAACAACATGCCTATAAATTTCGCATTTAGGCTACATAAAATGAAATTTATTCACTTTTAGAAACACAAGTTTGGCCAGTCAGGTTTGAGGATCATGTGGTGAGCTATGCATGTCTAGTTTGTTAATTTAGCCTAGCAGATGCTCTTATATTCCCATGCCCTAATCACAGTCAACACAAATGTTATTTCTTCACACCAAAGAAAATAGGTAAAAGACAAAACAGTACAGATAAAAAAAATTTGAAAAAAAAATGGTGTGCAGGTGAGGTTAGAAGCCCAAAAGGGCTTATATGAAAACCACACCACAAATATAAGTAAAAATAATAATAATATGTTTAATCAATCAGTTAAACAAAGCTTATTAATTATAATTGTACATAATATACTCAGTAAACAAGGAAACAAGAAAAAACATGCTTGATTGTGTGTGTGTGTGTGTGTGTGTGTGTGTGTGTGTGTGTGTGTGTGTGTGTGTGTGTGTGTGTGTGTGTGTGTGTGTGTGTGTGTGTGTGTGTGAGTGTGAGAGTTAGGCTACATGGAGGGAAATATTGGGTAGTTTGGTTCATCAAGCTGAATACAATAAAGTTTGATTTTTTAAAAACATTGAAAGATACTTTGTTTATCTGGAACCATTCAGAAAATTTGGCCATACCTTAGTTGGCTTGATTAATTATTGAATCTAAATTATTGTGTAATAAAATCTAATTGGTATCATCAGCAAAGAGAATGGGAAGTACGGTAGAAAACAGCAGCAAGAGGTCATTGATATAGATTAGGAGTAACAAAGGTCCAATTATCGAACCATGTGGCACACCACAGGATATCTTGGCCCTGGTAGATGCACATCAATTTGCATAAAAAAAGTATTCTCTATCATAAACATAACTATAAAACCAATTATATGTATAATCATGAAAACCGTAATAATGCAATTTAGAAAGTAATATTTCATGATCAGCCATGTCAAAACGCTTTGGATAAATCTAAAAAGATGCCAAGAGCGTATTCATTGTTGTTAAGGGCTGTAAAGATTTTATTCACAAGTTGCAGAAGAGCCATATCTGTGGAGTAGTTTTTACGAAAACCATATTGGTGCTCACATAGAATACAGTGTTGATTTAAATGTTTCAACATTCTCTTACACACCAATTTTTCTAGGATTTTAGAAAAACACGGAAGTACAGATATTGAGCGATAATTTGTAAAAGATCTTGAATCCACGGATTTATAGAGGGGGATAACTTTGGCAATTTTCAAATCTTAAGGAACAATACCAGTTTGCATAGATTTGGTGAAGATATACGAGGAAGACACTGATTTCACCAAAAAGGCACCAATCTCATCATGACCTGCTGCTGATATCTTTAAGTTACTGATTACCTCTATCACATCCATTACATCAGGAGGATCAAACTGAAGCAGAGAAGGGAAATGTCGGGATTTCCATCAGTTTTCTCAATTTTATTTGACAAAGAGGAACCCACACGCACAACAAAGTTATTAAATGCACATTAAATAACACCAGGACCACCATAGCCTATATTATAACCTACATATAGCCTACATTTCTTGTGATTCACTTGAGCGGTACCAAATTGTTTTTCAGCTGTGATACGGCAGCGCCACTTAGTGGTAGGTTACTTCCAATCCACTTCAGGGACCTGGGATATATTCATTCTGCCCATTCTGATGCAAAACATTTCTCATACGGAAGCAAACGGAACGAAACGGGTAGGGACCTACCTTGAATATGTCTAATATAAACTTTCATTTTGCTCTGTTTTGCTTCCGTTTGGTTCTTAAACGGTAAACGGTTTTCGTAATGAATACACCCCTCTTATCTGGAGAAAAGAAACGCGCATTGCGCAGGCATTGTACAGACGAAACACGGAAGAAGTCACTTCAGCATGAGTAGCAAGGACTACGCCTACAGACCATCGTTTTGATTTCGGCAGAATTAGGATACCTCTATTTTGAACTTCTTATCTGAAAAGGCGGTACCCTTCTTTCTATTCACACTTGGTTGCAACGTAGGCTACAGTAGGCTAATTATAGTGAGTCGAGAGGAGCTGACAGCCTGATTACCACATTCGTCGCAACATTGTATCTGACTAGGCGAGTGCCATCAGTGTAGCTAGCAATGTAACAGAACAATGCAACATTTTTAAGCAAGACTGATACTTTAGTTTCCCGTAATTTAAAGTAAAGATGACAGCTCGCAGCAGTGTAACACATGGAATACCTAACACTAAGGTCAGGTACTCCAAATTAGCCAGTGATGATGACGGCTACATTGACCTGCAGGTAAGCGCTTGAGTGTGCTAGAATGGGCCTGGTAGGGTTGGAATGGATTTCTGGAATCTATAGGCCATTTGAAATGAACTGCCCATGGCAATTATGTGAATCTATAATCATTATGTAACTACGCTATAGACATAGTCCAATATCATTATGTAACTATAGACATAGTCCAATATTGTTATTGCATCAATCTACCCTGTATATGAAATAATGTTGTAATATCAGTATTGGAAAAAGCTTTGGGGGTGGTTTGGTGAAACACTTATCACAAAATGTTTGATCTTCTGTGGTATGTTGTTATGAAGTAATGTTTATCCCCCCAGTTCAAAAAGAGCCCACCAAAGGTCCCATACAAAGCCATTGCACTGGCCACCGTCCTCTTCTTGATTGGCTCGCTGTTAATCTCCATTGGAGCCCTCCTATTGGCAGGGTACTTTGAAGTCACAGTGAGTATGAAAGTCCATTTGTACATTCCTGTCATGTTTCACAACAACACAACAAACACATTTCACACAATTAACTTTGACACATTCCAATGTGTTCCTTAGAAATCAATATTTTATAGATTTTCTGTCTTGATTCATTTCAGCATGCTGACCGGACTGTGCCTGTTCTCATCATTGGAATCCTGGTTTTCCTTCCTGGATTCTATCACCTGAGGATAGCTTACTATGCATCGAAAGGCTACCGTGGTTACTCCTATGATGATATCCCAGACTTTGATGACTGAGCCACTCCTAACTGAGGCAACTCATATGTTATTTTCATATAGCATTGTTGAATACAGTAAACAGATTGGGATTGAGGTTAGTCCTAAAACAGTCCTTTGATGTTTATGTTCATCATAGAATGTCTGTTGTCTTTTTAGTTTTTTGACTGAATTACCACCATAGTTCATTATGATTGATTGCTATATTTAGTTTAGATATGTTCGTGTTATTGTTTCTAACAAAGAACATATGTTTTTTTAGTTGACGGATCAATTGGAAATGTGATTCTAGGATGCTTTTTTCCCCCTCAACATATAAAAGAGAAGGACATAATTTCTGTGTCAATAAAATACTTAGCTGTGCTGTGAGGGAGGCATGAGTTTAATTCATTGTCCTACTGTATATACAGTGCCTTGCAAAAGTATTCATCCCCCTTGGCGTTTTTCCTATTTTGTTGCATTACAACCTGTAATTTAAATGGATTTTTCTTTGGATTTCATGTAATGGACATACACAAAATAGTCAAAATTGGTGAAGTGAAATGAAAAAAATAACTTGTTTAAAAATAAATAATGGAAAAGTGGTGAGTGCAAATGTATTCACCTCCTTTGCTATGAAGCACCCTAAATAAGATCTGGTGCAACCAATTACCTTCAGAAGTCACATAATTAGTTAAATAAAGTCCACCTGTGTGCTATCTAAGTGTCACATGATCTGTCACATGATCTCAGTATATTTACACCTGTTCTGAAAGGCCCCAGTCTGCAACACCACTAAGCAAGGGGCACCACCAAGCAAGCGGCACCATGAACACCAAGGAGCTCTCCAAACAGGTCAGGGACAAAGTCGTGGAGAAGTACAGATCAGGGTTGGGTTATAAAAAAAATATCTGAAACTTTGAACATCCCACGGAGCACCATTCAATCCATTATTAAAAAATGGAAAGAATATGGCACCACAACAAACCTGTCAAAAGAGGGCCGCCCACCAAAACTCACGGACCAGGCAAGGAGGGCATTAATCAGAGAGGTAACAAAGAGACCAAAGATAACCCTGAAGGAGCTGCAAAGCTCCACAGCGGAGATTAGAGTATCTGTCCATAGGACCACTTTAAGCCGTACACTCCACTGAGCTGGGCTTTACGGAAGAGGATATCCAGTATCAGTAATCCATAAACATGTCAAGCAGAAGAACTGAAAGACACAATGCATGGTCTTTCAGAATGAAGTCAGTCTCAATAACCAAGTGTGGATTGAACTGGTGACTCATTATGGAGTAGCTAAAGCAAATATGCATCATATTCTGTTGGGTTTTTGCCTTTATCCCAAACATATAGAAGAAGGTACTCTGGTCAAATGAGACTAAAATTGAGCTTTTTGCCCATCAAGGAAAACGCTATGTCTGGTGCAAACCTAACACTTCTCATCACCCGAGAAACCCCATCCCCACGTGAAGCATGGTGGTGGCAAGCATCATGCTGGGGATGCTTTTCATCGGCAGGGACTGGAGAAATGGTCAGAATTGAAGGATATGGATGGCCTAGTCAGGGAAATTCTTGAGGGTAAACCTATTTCAGATTTCAGAGATTTGAGACTGGGACGGAGGTTCACCTTCCGCAGGACAATGACCCTAAGCATACAAACAACACTCGATTGGTTTAAGGGGAAATTAAATGTATTGAATGGCCTAGTTAATGCCCAGTCCTCAATCCAATTGAGCAATCTGTCGGTAAGATTGCTGTACACCAGCGGAACCCATCCAACTTGAAGGAGCTGGAGCAGTTTATAGAGTGGCTAGATGTGCCAAGTTTATAGAGACATACCCCCCTTGGCATTTTTCCTATTTTGTTGCCTTACAACCTGGAATAATAGTGAATAGTGAATAGTTATGCACGCTCAAGTTTTCTGTTTTTCTGTCTTATTTTTTTTTTTTTTTCACAAAACAAATTTTTTGCATCTTCGAAGTGGTAGGCATGTTATGTAAATCAAATGATACAACCCCCCCCCCCCAAAATCAATTTTTATTCCAGGTTGTAAGGCAACAAAATAGGAAAAATGCCAAGGGGGGTGAATACTTTCGCAAGCCACTGTACCTGATCAGTGTAACCATAAACAGAACCATGAGTTTGAGATATTATGGCTAAACTTGAAAGTTGACTGTTTTTCTGTTGAAATGTCACTTGTGCTTTCCTGTAGGGTATCCTGGAAGGAGTATCTTATGTGATTAATGCCAATCCTTTGATCTCCATATGGTGTGCTGCTAGGCATGTGAGAGTCAAGAGGGAAAAGTAGTCAGGCAACAATACAGAGCTCAAAGTGTCTGGTATAGATTTCTACTGACTAAGTTTGAGAGGCATTGTCACTGGCAATGAAATCAGGAGTGTATCCATATGTTGAAAAGAAAGGCATTTGTACTTGTGCACCAGCTCAAATAAAGACTCATAAACAACCATCTTCACTTTTGTGTCAACTCACGCCCCCATGTGGTGTTCCAAAGTTTACTTAGTGGGGGAAAAACAAACCCAATATTCTGTAGACAACCATTGATGTTGTCTGAACCAAATGTTTCTAAAATGTAAGATCTTTGTTAGTTTGAGAGCTATTATTGGACATATTTGGGTAAATGATGCTACTGGTAGTGTAGCTGAAGTTTTTCCTAAATCAACCGGGTAAGGGGTTTCCACTAAGGTAACCTCCTCAGGCTATTGCGCACAGGCTATTCTGCATTTGGCTGGAAGTGTTTGGGAACGAGATTACCACTAAGGGAGGGTCTAGGACCAGTTTACCCCCAAAGACCCCAGACCCCAGAACCCAAACCATTAAAAAGCAAAGCTCACAGACATTACATGGAGTTGTTTGAGGGACACAGTTGCATTTATTCATATAGGAAAACTATCCCACCCATTTTGATTAGAAAAAATGTGGTGTTGTGAAGGCATTTTGTTGTAACTTTGTGTGGCAAAGTATTTCCCCCTGTAATAAAGGCTTTATAAATAATTGCATCACGGAAAGACACAAGAGATGAACAGAATCAAGGCATTTTGGATTAAATGTGGACCCTTATTAAAAATGTATGATTGTGGGGGATAGGCAACATTACATTGTCATTGTTTACGGACGTGTTCGGTTGCATAGCATGTCTTTTGTCAGGGTCTCCAAAACGTCCTCTCACACGAAAAGGCGCTTTTGTCTGGAGCGCTCAAACTGAGTGCATGTCTTAGGGAGGAGGAGGGAGATACGAGGAAGGAAAGAAACCGCGAGGAACGTAGTGCATGAATAGACGACTATACTCTTACACGCTCTCTGTCATTGTAGTGTGGAACTGAGGGGTGCACATCATTTGGGGATTTTTTGAGCAACGCATTACTTAAATAAATGCGCTTTATGGTTTCGGAGTTTTTTTGTACTGCTCCTTTTTACTACACTTTGGGTAACTTTAGACAAAGCAGCACGAAGGAGGGAAATACAAATATGCTCGGACACTTTCAAATGATTCTAAACCCATCTAGGCACTCCTTAAGTTTTTCTCTATCGTCATATGGGATGTAATGACTTAGAATATAATGAAATACTGCTACAGCTACATCTAAACGGAGCTTTTCCTAACTTCACTCTGGTTGTGTCAGCACCTATCGCCCGGGGCAAGTGAAAGACAGTCTGCCACGCTTTTATAAAATATGCGAACACCTTTATTTTTAAGTCGAACTTATCAAACTTTAGAAGAACTAATGAAAGCCTAAATACGTCAACTGCTGAAAAAAGCAAAGGATCTGATGGACTGATTCTATTCTGGTCAACTCAGAGAAGTGCCTCAAGCAAGGTAAATCGACTCGGCCACATCCTACATGTGAATAGCAGTTTATGTGAGTTACAGATGTGGTCCACTTTTAATACAAATGTACATTCACTTATAATTTTTATTTCACAAACACACATTTCCTCATCCTTGTTTTCGTCTAGACAAATTATGCCGTTGGAGCTCTATACTTTTGTCTGAAGTAGTTTATTCAACCGATCATTAAAGCAGTCTGACAAGCAGAATATTCCCTGAAGTGCATTGTGTTGACGTCCGTTATTGTTTATCATTTTGCTCTAGACATGTTGCTTTATCCCCTGGTGATTACAGGTTGAGGTGTGATTTATTTAGCGTGCGTTAGCATTAAAGTGTACATTTAGATCAAGGTCGATTATTCATAGCCGTTGGTAAATTAAGATTAATTAATGCATTAAATGAATGCATACTGAGAACAATGGTCAATCACAGCAGAATGGTCATTTTGTATTCAGGTTGCGTCCCTTTCCTATCAGTCCATGTCAGACAATAGAGGCACCTGTTTTTGTTGTTGTTGCCTGATATGGAGACATCCTTGTAAACAAACCATCTAGTTAATCTAAAATATTTTTTTTCTGATATATGATGTTATTCCCATTCTTTACTTATTTATTGCATTCAGATATCAGCCTTGCTGCCACACATTATATTTGTCTTTATATTTGAAAACGGATCAATTAAAACAGCATCTGCTACTAAACCCTCCCATCCCAATTGGGGGTCCCATCCCCCAATGTGGATAAAGGCAAAAACCCAACAGAATATGATGCATATTTGCTTCAGCTACTCCATAATGAGTCACCAGTTCAATCCACACTTGGTTATTGAGACTGACTTCATTCTGAAAGACCATGCATTGTGTCTTTCAGTTCTTCTGCTTGACATGTTTATGGATTACTGATACTGGATATCCTCACTTGGAGCACTGTTGGGACTGTGGCACTTCATGAGTCATGACACAAGGGCATCATTGATGCTAAATAGTTCAGTTCTCTACCATGGCACTTATTTCATGATATAGTAAAAGTGTCGATTGTAACAGAGTTATGTTTTTTTCTATTGCTGATTTTGTAGATTGGAATCGCTTACTCAGGTGACCAAAGTCCAACTGTAAAGCTCAGTGATTTACCGGACTCTGTGGTTCTATGTTCTACACAGTGGAGGCTCCTCAGAGGAGGAAGGGGAGGACCATCCTATTCAGTGGATTTCATAAAAATAAAATAGTGAAACATAAAAAAAGTTATCATTTTTAGATAAAACTATACTAAATATATTCACGTCACCAAATCTATGATTAAAACACACTGTTTTGCAAAGAAGGTCCACAGTAGCATCAACAGCACCCTCTAGGGTAGCACCACGGTGTAGCCAGAGGACAGCTATTTTCCGTCCTCCTCTGGGTACATTGACTTCAATACAAAACCTAGGAGGCTCATGGTTCTCATACCCCCCCCCCCCCCCCCCCCCCCCCCCCACCCCCTTCCATAGACTTACACAGTAATTATGACAACTTCCGGAGGTAGTCCTCCAACCTATCAGAGCTCTTGCAGTATGAACTAACATGTTGTTCATAAAATAAAAGGATCAGAGAATGAATCTAGTACTGAAAGCATAAGCTACAGCTAGCTAGCACTGCAGTGCATAAAATGTTGTGAGTAGTTGACTCAAAGAGAGAGAAAGACGATAGTTGAACAGTTTTGAACAAAATACTTTTTTTCAAAAATTAAGGAGAAGCAGCAGAGAGAGAGATCTAACTATATTTTGTTGGATTTGATCTTCTTCTTAGTTTACCTTTCACTTATGTAGCTAATGCAGCTAATTTAGCCTACTCAACAACCTGACTCAAACAGAGAGGAATGCTATTTATGTTAGCTAGCTGGCTAAGGCTATCCAACATAGCAACTCTTCCAAGTCAAGGTAAGCTTTCGGTTTTATTAATTAATTGCCACCAGGGCCTGCCAGTGTAACTGCTTGCTGTACACTGTACTGTGTGATTGTACACATTAATTGGATTGTGGGTTTACTAACGCGTTAGTTCTAGTAGCTATGTTGACTATGACGTCAGCTAATGTGGTGACAACGATGTAGGCTGTGTAGCGTTTAGCGGTTATGATATTAAGGTTTGGCTTGGAGAGGTTTTTACGCCTGGTCACAGACAGCTATTGTGTTGTGCCCTGAAGTCCACAAGCGAAGGCAAAAGGTGAGAGGTGGAGAGCGGGTAGATGCGAGAAGGAATTATACAATGAGCAAAGTGATGATGCTGGATGTGGCTGTTATGAAAGTGAACTGTGTGTACAGGTGATCAGGGGTGTATTCATTCCACCGATTCTGTTGCAAAACGTTTATTAAATGGAGGCAAAAGGAACCAAACAGGGAGGGACCTACTTGAATTTGTCCAATAGAAACTCTTGTTTTAGTTACAAAACGGAACGTTGTTATTTAGCATCGAAGTATAATAACGCTCATTTTTGTTTCTTGCATGGATTTGATACAAAACCGCTTAGAGTTTTTGGGGAAAAACGAAAGGAGATTAGAGAAAGGGAGCAAAGAAAGAAGTATTCAGCTGAATGCAGTGTAAATGGCACCATTGTATAGACATGGCCATTTCAATCTGCAGTGTTATTGGAAACTCTGAATGTGTTTCTCAGTCTTACATGGTAAGAGTTGACCTGGTGAGATACAAATTAACCTCCAGAACCAAATGGGTTCTTTAGTGTTATTTTAGCTTTCTTTGGATCAACCAAGACATTTGGGCAGCATCTCGCTTTTGTCTCTCTCCTTCTAACAAGGCCAACGTGGTCATTGCGTGTGAAATATTCTAGCTCAGGTGCAGCAGTCAGCTATCTATGCCTTGAGACACTTTCATTTCACATCAATGCAGTGGTTGGCCCTAAATTAAGGTTTGCATGGCCACCAGAGGTCATGGGGTGGGGCAAACCACTCTAAAGGGCTGGTTGAATTAACAGAGGATGTCAGTACACAAGATATGGACCTCTCCGAGGGTGTCTCAGCGGGAGTTGGGATATGCAAAAAAACACATTTTCAATTCACACGTGCGTACAATACACACTTGTACATGTGTGAACTAGGACAAAAATAAGCACCAACCAAATTATTATTATTATTAATGAGTCTCAGTGGGCTTACTACTGTCCTGGCCTGGGGGGATAATTTCCCTCCATGTTTTCACTTCTTTACCTCTTAATGCATCCTACCTGCTGGTGTGAGATCCAGCTCAGCCCTGTCTGGCATCTGCTCCCTTAGCTCCACTGTAAGTGTGTGCCACGCACGCTGAGCCACATTTAGATGGGATAAACCATCCATGTTATTTAGAATGCGATGAAAATGGCAAGCATCCCTGTAAACAGAATAATCTGGCAGGTTATGGTACAGTATTTGCTGACATGATAACAACTGTTTACTGAGGAGAAAACAACAATCTTGATAGATTGTGGATCTATGTATAATGGCTCTCTCACAGGTGATGGATGGAAGGTTTGGTATGGTACATTTGTCAGTGAGATCAATGGCTGTCTGTCTGCTATGGCAAGCAGTGCTTAATAAAAACTGCACCAACTGTTTGTACAAGCATATACAGGACAGCGTGCTGCTGACAGATGCCCTTTATCTTTGATTTCTAATTAGATTACACTATTAAGGTTGGGAGCAGCAGTACTGGATTAGACTAGGTGTTCACAAGGGTGCAGTCCAAAGTCATTTGTCTCTTTGAAGCCCAGTAAGAGATGCAACTCTTCTTAAAGGTGCAATATGCAGATATCGCTCCGCCATTTCCTGGTTGGCCTAATTTCAGTTTAAGTGACAAAACAAGCAGTCATTATGTAGAGAATCATTGTACCATCTAAACCGCTCTGAAGTATATTTTCCATAACCCAAAATATTGTATTTTCAGCTGTTTGAACATAAGAACGGGAGCACATAGAACAGATCTACCGCTTCTTAAACTTGCTTTCAATGGAAATGACAGATCTATAACTCACATTTCTATGTGAATTTGGTTGGGTTGCCCAAAAAGTTACATATTGCAGCTTTAACAGGGTTGAAAGTCTTTACACTGTCATTACAAAGTAAAGTGTGTTCTGTGTAAGTGTGTGTTAGTCTACTGCATTGATTGCCAGACTTATGGGAGAAAAGGCCCAGACTATTTGAGTGTCTGAGGTTGTGTATCGGTTGTGTGCTGACAGAACAGTCTTACTCAGTATGACAGAACGGTCCGGATCTCCCTCAATGGCTTCTTTTGTGTGACTTAGACACTTATGTAACGTCTCCGTCTTCCCCTCAGATACCCTCAGGCTCAAATCCCCTCACTTCCTAACCCGCTTGGTGCATCTGCTCCATGTAGAGTTGATCTTGGCAGAGCTACATTTGTCTGTTGTTCATGACTGTACAAGAGGGGCTTAGCTACCACTCCCAACCCTGTAAACTAAAGCCAGGTTTTAGTCATAGAAACTTAAATGACTGTTGGGCAATATGAACATAATCCAATAACATCAAATCCAATAATTCATAATTATTGTCTAGATGTATTTGTATGAAACCAGCTACTTTTTCCTTAAAGATGCAAAATCAAAACCCTCCTTGAGCAGCTCCCATAATTGCAATGATTTCTCTTGACAATATGCTTTTAGAAAGAACACTGAGACCTCTCTTTCGTTGAAAATAGAGAGATAATCATTCTAAATGCACCCAATTTGCTTTTCCATTATGAGATTAAAGGGACTTTGATATTATGCAAGATTATGTACTGTGTATCTCCTAGCAGATGACTAGCACTGTCATTTTACATACAGTGGGGAAAAAAAGTATTTAGTCAGCCACCAATTGTGCAAGTTCTCCCACTTAAAAAGATGAGAGAGGCCTGTAATTCTCATCATAGGTACACGTCAATTATGACAGACAAAATTAGAAGAAAAAAAATCCAGAAAATCACATTGTAGGATTTTTAATGAATTTATTTGCAAATGATGGTGGAAAATAAGTATTTGGTCACCTACAAACAAGCAAGATTTCTGGCTCTCACAGACCTGTAACTTCTTCTTTAAGAGGCTCCTCTGTCCTCCACTCGTTACCTGTATTAATGGCACCTGTTTGAACTTGTTATCAGTATAAAATACACCTGTCCACATCCTCAAACAGTCACACTCCAAACTCCACTATGGCCAAGACCAAAGAGCTGTCAAAGGACACCAGAAACAAAATTGTAGACCTGCACCAGGCTGGGAAGACTGAATCTGCAATAGGTAAGCAGCTTGGTTTGAAGAAATCAACTGTGGGAGCAATTATTAGGAAATGGAAGACATACAAGACCACTGATAATCTCCCTCGATCTGGGGCTCCACGCAAGATCTCACCCCGTGGGGTCAAAATGATCACAAGAACGGTGAGCAAAAATCCCAGAACCACACGGGGGAACCTAGTGAATGACCTGCAGAGAGCTGGGACCAAAGTAACAAAGCCTACCATCAGTAAAACACTACGCCGCCAGGGACTCAAATCCTGCAGTGCTAGATGTGTCCCCCTGCTTAAGCCAGTACATGTCCAGGCCCATCTGAAGTTTGCTAGAGTGCATTTGGATGATCCAGAAGAGGATTGGGAGAATGTCATATGGTCAGATGAAACCAAAATATAACTTTTTGGTAAAAACTAAACTTGTCGTGTTTGGAGGACAAAGAATGCTGAGTTGCATCCAAAGAACACCATACCTACTGTGAAGCATGGGGGTGGAAACATCATGCTTTGGGGCTGTTTTTCTGCAATGGGACCAGGACGACTGATCCGTGTAAAGGAAAGAATGAATGGGGCCATGTATCGTGAGATTTTGAGTGAAAACCTCCTTCCATCAGCAAGGGCATTGAAGATGAAACGTGGCTGGGTCTTTCAGCATGACAATGATCCCAAACACACCGCCCGGGCAACGAAGGTCCTGGAGTGGCTTAGCCAGTCTCCAGATCTCAACCCCATAGAAAATCTTTGGAGGGAGTTGAAAGTCTGTGTTGCCCAGCGACAGCCCCAAAACATCACTGCTCTAGAGGAGATCTGCATGGAGGAATGGGCCAAAATACCAGCAACAGTGTGTGAAAACCTTGTGAAGACTTACAGAAAACGTTTGACATGTGTCATTGCCAATGAAGGGTATATAACAAAGTATTGAGAAACTTTTGTTATTGACCAAATACTTATTTTCCACCATAATTTGCAAATAAATTCATTAAAAATCCTACAATGTGATTTTCTGGATTTTTTTTCCTCATTTTGTCTGTCATAGTTGACATGTACCTATGATGAAAATTACAGGCCTCTCTCATCTTTTTAAGTGGGAGAACTTGCACAATTGGTAGCTGACTAAATACTTTTTTTCCCCACTGTACATACTATCAGTGACCTATGTAACCCCTCATTACTACATATGATGTAGCGTCTTGAGATAAAGTTGTAGGCCTCCTCTGTTTGCATTTAAATTAAAGGACTTCCTGCCATGGGAAACAGGTCGTACCTGAAGCCACAGAATAGTGGTGGGTGCTGTCCTCTGTCTCGCCTGTCTACACCTATAGACTTGGACCCCTACAGGCTCTCTCTGCAGGGTCTGTAGTCTGGACACTCCCCTGTCAAAGCACCAACTACAAGACTGGAGAAACTCTAGAAAATTTGGCAGGTGATATAAGTGCCTATACAGTACCAGTCAAAAGTTTGGACACACCTACTCCTTCCAGGGTTTTTCTTTATGTTTATAATAATAGTGAAGACATCAAAACTATGAAATAACACATATGGAATCATGTAGGAACCAAAAAAGTGTTAAACAAATCAAAATATATTTTATATTTTCAAATAGCCACTCTTTGTCTTGATGACAGCTTTGCACACTCTTGGGATTCTCTCAACCAGCTTCATGAGGTAGTCACCTGGAATGCATTTCAATTAACAGGTGTGCCTTCTTAAAAGTTAATTAGTGGAATTTCTTTCCTTCTTAATGCGTTTTAGCCTATCAGTTGTGTTGTGACAAGAACAGCTCAAATAAGCAAAGAGAAACAACAGTGCATAATTACATTTAAGACATGAAGGTCAGTCAATACGGAACATTTCAAGAACTTTTCAAGTTAATTCAAGTGCAGTCGCAAAAATCATCAAGCGCTATGATGGAAATGGCTCTCATGAGGACCGCCACAGGAATGGAAGACCCAGAGTTACCTCTGCTGCAGAGGATAAGTTCATTAGAGTTACCAGCCTCAGAAATTGCAGCCCAAATAAATGCTTCACAGAGTTCAAGTAACAGACACATCTCAACATCAACTGTTCAGAGGGGATTGTGTGAATCAGGCCTTCATGGTCGAATTGCTGCAAAGAAACCTCTACTAAAGGACACCAATAAGAAGAAGAGACCTGCTTGGGCCAAGAAACACGAGCAATGGACATTAGACCGGTGGAAATTTGTCCTTTGGTCTGGAGTCCAAATTGGAGATTTTTGGTTCCAACTGCCGTGTCTTTGTGAAACGCGGTGTGGCTGAATGGATGATCTCCGCATGTGTATTTCCCACCGTAAAGCATGGAGGAGGAGGTGTCCTGAGTGGCGCAGTGGTCTAAGGCACTGCATCGCAGTGCTAACTGTGCCACTAGAGATCCTGGTTTGAATCCAGGCTCTGTTGCAGCCGGCCACGACCGGGAGACTCATGGGCGGCACACAATTGGCCCAGCGTCGTCCAGGGTAGGGGAGGGAATGGCCGGCAGGGATGTAGCTCAGTTGATAGAGCATGGCGTTTGCAATGCCAGGGTTGTGGGTTCGATTCCCACGGGGGGCCAGTATAAAAAAATATGTATTCACTAACTGTAAGTCGCTCTGGATAAGAGCGTCTGCTAAATGACGTAAATGTAAAATGTAAATGTGTTATGGTGTGGGGGTGCTTTGCTGGTGACACTGTCTGTGATTTATTTAGAATTCAAGGCACTCTTAACCAGCATGGCTACCACAGCATTCTGCAGTGATATGCCATCCCATCTGGTTTGGGCTTAGTGGGACTATCATTTGTTTTTTAACAGGACAATGACCCAACCCACCTCCAGGCTGTGTAAGGGCTATTTTACCAAGAAGGAGAGTGATGGAGTGCTGCATCAGATGACCTGGCCTCCACACTCCCCCGACCTCAACCCAATTGAGATGGTTTGGAATGAGTCGGACCGCAGAGTGAAGGAAAAGCAGCCAACAAGTGCTCAGTATATGTGGGAACTCCTTCAAGACTGTTGGAAAAGCATTCCAGGTGAAGCTGGTTGAGAGGATACCAAGCGTGTGCAAAGCTGTCATCAATGCAAATGGTGGCTATTTGAAGATTCCCAAATATAAAATATACTGTGATTTGTTTAACACTTTTTTGTTTACTACATGATTCCATATGTGTTATTTCATAGTTTTGATATATTCACTATTATTATACAATGTAAAAAATAGTACAAATAAAGAAAAACCCTTGAATGAGTAGGTGTGTCCAAACTTTTGACTGGTAGTGTAGGTGATACGAGTGTATAAAGAGCTATCTAAAATAAAAATGTTAGCAGTTAAATTAGGTTTCCCTCAATAGCAGCAACATGAGATGAGAGGGGGTTGGTTGGCTGGGTGCTCGATTGGATGCCATGTGGCTGACTGGTGAAAAACTGTTACTTAGGAAGACCATTTCTACCTTAGAGAATGATGCAGTGCTGTGAAATCAGCTCCAGTGACAAGTAATCGTGTGTTTCTGTCACTTTGCAGGGATGATGACACAATAGCTAGTGCAGTAGGAAAAAAAACTGAATGGGATGGGCATTGTTCGATTTCATTTGGCATTTCAGGCGTAAGACAGGAACGAGAGGAAATCATTATTGCTTCCGTCTCTGTCCCATCAGAGCATGTTATAGGTATCATTCATCCCTGTGAAACAATTGCTATTGCTCCTTTTCCATTCAGAGAGGAGAGATGTTTGTTTTGGTTATGACATAGCCCACGGCCATGTTGCCATTTCTACTACTCTCATATAATACCATCATTGTTGCCTTGCCCCCAAATCAGTGATAAATATCACACTGATTAAACAAACTCAGGATAGATGCCATGGCTAATTCCTAACAGGACTAAAGAGTCCCGTTGAGTCCCATACCCTTATCAGACAAGTGCAGAGGATAACAATATCCCTAACCTATTCTTCTCAGATCTGTTTACTATGTCAGATTACTCCTATGAGACCAAATGTGTCACATGAGTTGAGTTGGCATATCTGTTGCTATTACACTTCCTAGCTTTCCAAAAATAGCCTCCTTATATTAGTGTAATTAACTTACACTAGTGATAAGCTGGTATTAGTGACTCTGAATCGCGTGTGTGGGAGAATACAGTGTATATGTGTGTGTGGGGGAAAGGGGAAACTTAAACTGTAGATGGTTTTAAGCTGTATGTTGCAACCTTAACACATCACGGGCCAGACAGTGGAACACAGATTCAGTTTTCAGAGCTTTATTGACCCTTTGTATTGTCAGGCTCCATCCATTCTTCATTCTAGGAAATTGATTATTGAGCAGTCTGGTTACAGTAATATCCGGTTCACATTCAGTGGGTCGGTGCAATACTGCAAAATGTCAGAGATAGAAATTACATTCATGGAATTTACAAGGTTCTCTTCTCAAAAACGGTGAATGGTAATTTTTTACATTGAAACACAAGAGGAAAGATTAATTGAAAGTGCATTGTCCATTAGACTGGGGTTGGGATGACGAGATAGAGCCAGTCAGATAAACAGAGATGTCCCTGATGTTTTCCTCTTGCATGTGTCACCTGTCTAAAGCTGTTAGCCCAGTTAGCATGAGACGAGACCTACAGTGTGAGCTGGACCAATCACAGGCAGAAGGTTAATCTTTTTGACCATATCAGTGACAGGGACACAAACTCATACACAAACTCATATACACACACACACACACACACATCAATATATTTTCACTCCCAAAGCTAGTTTGAATAAGCATGTTTCCCTTAATCCAAATCCAAGTCACAGATCAGACATCCAATTTTGCAGTGGGCAAATATTATTTACAGAATACAGTCAGTTATCAAGCCGTCAACAGACTGGAATGGAGTTTGAAGTAGGGATTATGAAATACTTTAGGGTTTATGTTAACTTGGAGGATTACCTTGGTCTTGTCTGATGCCAGATGCAGTGGGAAGGTCCTTGTACAGTATTGATGGCTGTGTGTTACTTTATGTCAGAGGTTTGAATTGAATGTTTGTTTCTGTGTTTTCAGGTTGGGAGATATGTAAAGGAGTGTGAGGGACGGCGATGGGATTGGAGAGGCTGTGGCTTCTGGGTGTCACCACTGCTGTTGCCCTCTGTCTGCTGCGTAAGTATCATACTGTACAGTACATTTGCTATGCTCATACAATTTTATTGGTTTCTCTCCTTACACCTGCCTTGCTCTCCTAGCTACCCAAGTAATTCACTTCATACATTTCTATTACAATGGTACATCAATATTGTGAAGTTATGTACTGTAAAACACATCATATAAAATGTGCCTCTAGAGAAATCCTCTCATCCAATTCACTATCTGCCTCTCACCATTTCTGTCTTTCTTAATCCTTTTCCACCCTTATACTACCTAGGTATTTTCCTCTGTAGTTTATACCACTCTCTTTACATTCCTTGTTTACATGGACGCTTATGTAATGGCATAGAGTCCTAGGCCTTGGCTCTCATGTACTGGTTGGGGGACGTTTCTGAATGTACTCCCTAGAACATATGATTTAAAGCATCATACTGATAAGTCTCTGACATCAGTCACTATGTACATGTGACCTGGATTGGGGAAAGTGATGAGGAGGGGGTCAGGAGGTCTAGACACAAGTGTATACAAGGGAATGGGGTGAAATCTAAAAAATATATCTGATGGTGCGGATTTAGATTAATCTGGGATTTATACTGGCCCCATCCCAAAGGCACGCTTCTAGGGGGAGGGGAGTTTAGTGGAGCTAGGCCATGTGTGGACCCCAGGGGGTCGTGGAGCGGGAGGGAGGGGTGAGAGGCCTGCTGCCCTACCATCTATCAGGGAGTGTCCCCTTTTGAGCGAAGCACTGCCGCAACGCGTTATATTTTACGGAGAACACTGCAGCAGAAGCGAACTTCTTCCGTTACTCTTTAGTCTACGTGAGGCTACAATACCTTGAGTTTCCCTGGGAAGCTGTGAAGCGCCGGGGAAGCTGTGAAGCGAGCTGTAGCCAATCGCGTGATTGTGTTTATGAGTTTGTTATTAAAGAATGTGAAGCAATGTTTATGTTTACTGCTTTTCATTAAATAATGCATGGCTATAAATATTGTACAGTCGTGGTCAAAAGTTTTGAGAATGACACAAGTATTGGTCTCCACAACGTTTGCTGCTTCAGTGTTCTTAGATCTTTATGTCAGTAGTTACTATGGTACACTGAAGTATAATTTCAAGTATTCCATAAGTGTCAAAGGCTTTCATTGACAATGACATTCAGTTTATGCAAAGAGTCAATATTTGCAGTGTTGACCCTTCTTTTTCAAGACCTCTGCAATCCGCCCTGGCATGTGTCAATTAAGTTCTGGGCTACATCCTGACTGATGGCAGACCATTCTTGCATAATCAATGCTTGGAGTTTGTCAGAAGTTGTGGGTTTTTGTTTGTCCACCCGCCTCTTGAGGATCGACCACAAGTTCTCAATGGGATACCTTTTGCAGAATATCAGTCTGTCCCTGATGTTTTTCCTGGAGAGAAGTGGCTTCTTTGCTGCCCTTCTTGACACCAGGCCATCCTCCAAAAGTATTCGTCTCACTGTGCATGCAGATGCACTCACACCTGCCTGCTGCCATTCCTGAGCAAGCTTTGCACTGGTGGTGCCCCGATCAACAGCTGAATCAACTTTAGGAGATGGTCTTGGCGCTTGCTGGACTTTCTTGGGTGCACTGACGCCTTCTTCACAACAATTGAACCTCTCTCCTTGAAGTTCTTGATGATCCGATAAATGGTTGATTTAGGTGCAATCTTACTAGCAGCAATATCCTTGCCTTTGAAGCCCTTTTTGTGCAAAGCAATGATGACAGCATGTGTTTCCTTGCAGGTAACCATGGTTGACAGAGGAAGATCAATAATTTCAAGCACCACCCTCCTTTTAAAGCGTCCAGTCTGTTATTCTGACTCAATCAGCATGACAGAGTGATCGCCAGCCTTGTCCTCGTCAACACTCTCACCTGTGTTAACGAGAGAATCACTGACATGATGTCAGCTGGTCCTTTTGTGGCAGGGCTGAAATGCAGTGGAAATGTTTTTTGGGGATTAAGTTCATTTTCATGGCAAAGAGGGACTTTGCAATTAATTGCAATTCATCTGATCACTTCATGACATTCTGGAGTATATGAAAATTGCCATCATCAACACTGAGGCAGCAAACTGTGTGAGACCAATACTTGTGTCATTCTCAAAACTTTTGACCATGACTGTATATGCATTCATTCATATGGGCAGATTATTGTATATATAGCCTATAGAAATTGGTTCAGATATAGCCTCAAATAAACGTGTTCATATGGGCAGAATATTGTAGATAAATTCATTAATATGGTTACATAAAGGCTGAAGGCTAAAAACAGCCTATACTATATCTAGGTCTAAATCTAGTTTCTACAATGTGTTTTCGTTTTAAATAATGTATTTTCCCTCCAAATAGGCGCAAGCCGTGTGTACCACGGTCCACAACTTGGTCGGTTTCTTCCTGGGTCACCAGGCTTCTCTCCTTTAGGGTAATCATCACCTTTCGGATCTGAATCCAACATTGTCTGCGATATGGTTGTGTTCTCCAGATAAATTGGAGATAACGCGTCAACACCTAGCCCACTGTGCGCAATTGTGTAGGCCAAAAGGCTATTGCTCAACACCCAACGGTATTTTCCTTACCATTATTCAGGACATTTAGACAACAAATGAGTCGCCTGGTGGGTTTATAAACCAAATGAACTGGTTATAACATTTCACGACAAAGAAGTATTCAAGTATAGTCCTAGATCTATTGTGTTGTTAGACCCAATGTGTCTCTCCTTACTGATGACAATGAATGAATGGTGGGCGATCGAATTGTGTATGTGACTTGATTGAATTAGAATTATGTGAATTGCCTAATGATAATGATGATGTGTGAGCCCAGTAACAGATTGACTGCAGTCCCTTTAATCATAGGCTATTGTTAATTTGAGTTTCTAAAATCACAATGTTTCCATTACTATAGTCATGTGACAAATTGTCTTTTTTTGTTTTTTTTAAACATATGTTGGCCTTTTACCAGATCCTTATATTTTTGCATGGACTGTATATTTCCATAACTTATCAAATTTCCGTAGGCTATAGGTTTATAGGCAGGCCTAATAACCTGCCGATATTAACAATAGCCATACATGATTTAATGAAAAGCAGCAAACATACACAACATTGTTTCACGTTCTTTAATAACAGACTCAAACACGCAATTGGCTACTGCTCTTTCACAGCTGTTTCCCGCCCAAATGCAGGGAAACTCATCATATTGTACAATACAAACATTGAGTACACAGAGGGGTCTGTACGCTACGCTGTGTTGTACCTTCGCTGTCGTGTTTTGCTCGACAAAAAGACGACACGTAAACCCTTTGAGATTAGTACTTAATCACCAGGCTAGACGAGGTGCAGAGACAACACAACAATGCCAGGCACCCGGTTGCAGGCTCTGGCCCAGGTGTCGTTAATGAGATTGCAGCATGTCTACAGAGCCAGTTGCAGCCTAGCGATCTTGTCACAAAATGGAGTACCATTGTTTTATATGGCCTCCGTGTGCCTGCTTTAAACAGAGCATACTCTGGAGAATTGAATGTGTGTTTATGTTTACATTTAAATATATGTTTATGCTGTCAACTCTAATCTCTTTTCCCTTAGACCTACTGCATGTTATTTTCTCAATGTCCTTCCAGTTTTTCTCTATCCAATCCTTTTGGTTTTAGCCCTGTTTCTCCTGTCTTTGTCCTCCACTTCCCTCTCATGAAACGAAGCTGTTGCTGCAAAACAGTGCTATCATAAGTTCTCTGCCCTGCAAAAAATAAATTGAATATTTAATCAGTATCTTCCTGGAATGTATAACCAGAAATGCCACTGAATGCATTTAGAAAAAACCTCAAAGTTGATCTGGTTCTGTATAACACTCAAACCTACGTGGAACAGATCCACATAATTTGTGGATGTTAAGGAGCTCTTAAATATTGATTTATGTTGTGGGTGTTGACTGTTGACCGTTCAGGCATCAACATGTTTTACTGCAGATTCACCAGTCATGCTCAGCCTTCCTCCATGGTATTATTGTTATATATGTGCATTCTCCTCAGGTACGTCCCAGGGTGTGGAGGCGGTGGTCCGAGCCAGGGTTGGGGGGACTGCAGAGCTCAGTTGCAGTCTTACCCCCCCTTCTACAGGAGCCACCACCCCAAACCTGTTCCCACTGCACGTGGTGGAGTGGGTTCGCCTGGGTTACAATGTTCCCATCCTCATCAAATTCGGAGTTTATGCACCACGCGTGCATCCCAACTACAAGGGTGAGTCCTCTTGTCCTAGATCTATGTCTTATCACTGCTTCTTTACAATTATGTCATGCACAGGAAAGGCATTGTGGAAGTTGCAGTTATACACCATGACTGAACATTTTAACCTTTTGGTTCTCACTTTCAGAGTCCTGGTGCAATTTCATCTTTTGTCCTGTTTGTTTATTGGGAGCCATTTGCCTGCACACAACAGCCCAGTGCATTCCTTAGTGTCTTTTACAGTGCAGTGTATGGGAGAAGGACAAAGGAGAGTTTAACCTCAATAACCTAGACGTGACGATAGCAGTTGTGGTTTCTCAAAGGAGTGAAGAGAAGGACCTGACAAATTTCTCTGATTATATCTGAAGAGATTGCGTGCAATAAGGTTGCATTGTCTTAAAACAACTTTCAATGACCTTCCTTTGAGCCTTTCTTTCCCCTGAACAGGGGCTGGCTGGGAATGTGCTTTAAGTACAGCTGTTCTGTTTTGAGTGGGGGTGGGGAAGGGGGCTACATTGGTATTTTTGAATGTTGGGAGGTTTCCGTGGTGAGAATACCCCAAATAGGTAATCCACCCAATTAAGAGCCCTGTAATTAGACTGTGTGTCTGTGTGTGGTAGGGCAGCGGTAAGGCAGGGGACTGGGACAGGGACCAGGCGAGGACAGAAATATGTTAATGGTTCGGTCAGGGGGGTGGGATGACAGGCGGGGCTGTGTGTGGATGTTTGTGTGTGTGTCTGTGTGCGTGTGTGTGTATGTGAGTGCAAGTGGAATATGGATTAAAGAGAGTGGGGTTAAATTGAGGCAGGCTTGAGTGAGGTGGGGGCTGGTGGTCTGATGACAGTTTGTTATTGGTATTCAGAGGGGTGACCTTGTTTTGCTGTAAGGAGGATGGATGAATCATATGGAATATTAGAGTTTTCTTTCCTAGAGTACCATAATCTAGTCATTGTCTCTCGGAGAACAAAAGACAAAGGCTATGTCACACCCAACCCGTCCTCTGACAGAGCCCATGCCAATACAAATCCCATACCCTCTCATCTAGGTCACTGAACTGGCAGGAAGCTTTTCATGTCCACCGAGAGTTGGTTTTCACTTAAAAACTATCAATAGATGCATTCAGCTATCTCACTGAAGATCATATAGACCCTGGCGTGCACTGGACACCCACCAGGCTCTGACCACTCAGGAATGGCCAGGAGAGCACTGGCCAACAGATGTCTGGCTGTCTATCTGACCCACCCATAGATAGGCCATTAATAGTGTTATTATTTTAGGGCTATCATGTGATGCTCCATGACCCAGAATTCATCACTCGGGTAAAAACAACAGAAAAGAAACAACAACAATCTAGTTTTGATGAGGGATATTCTCCCTCTCTGTGTGCCTGGTCTCTGCTTAACCCCTGTCTGCCTCATATCCTCTCAGCTCCCCTCCCTCTGGAGGCAGATGGCAACATGTGAAGCGTATCAGCGCTGCAGATCTAATGTATTCTACCCTCAAATTAAAATGTTTTGGGATTTAACCACAGCCCCACCTCACTAGACAGTATGAAACACAACCACTTCCTGGTCTCTGTCTCAAGCAGTCTATGCTCAGGGACAAACAAGCACAACTTTTTAGTAAGGGGAAGAAATGCCTCACTGTTGTTCAACCTTATCATCTGTCATCGCTGTCTCTAATGTACAATCTTGCCCTGATGCCATCCGCCAACCTAAAAATGTCACATGCAAGAATGAGAGGAAGCGTTATCTTTGATGAGGGCATAATATTGTCATGGGTTTAACCTCCAATTGTTCAGATACGAAATCAGGTGTATTTCAGATGACAGTGAGTTCTTGAGGAGTGCTTGCTGTGTCTATGTCTGTGTCTGTGCCATAGAGTAATGTCCTTCTGTTGACCCCATTAGAAGCCCATCCCTCTGAAACACAGACAGATTACTTGTGCAGGCTGCTCTGCAAATCTTTTATTTCTGGAGGGAATCAGAAACCCTTTTGAAGTAGGCTTCCCAGTGCCACATCCTTCTTCCCCCGTGTCTCTTTTCTAAACATGCCCTGGAGGACTCAACTGACAAAAGAGAGGAACAGACAAATAAATAGTGACTGAAAGTGCAGTCAACTTGACTGGTGAAGTCTGTTCAAGTTGTGCTTGTTGAGGAAATTTTTTAGTCCAGGCTAGCCTGTGAGTCTCCCTGCACTGGATGCCCTGTCAGGGGCACTTACTCTAAAAAAGGGCAGATCAAATGTGTCCTCTCTGCTGAAGTAAATGAGTGGAGACGTTATGGAGGGGGTAGAACGACAGCGGCAAAACCCCTGACTCAGCCCAGCAGGCCCCCATCACTCGGTCTCAGTGTGAGCAATAAAATAACAATAATGAGGCTATATACAGGGGGTACCAGTACCGAGCCAATGTGCAGGGCTACAGGTTAGTCGAGGTAATTTGTACATGTAGGTAGGGGTAAAGTGGGGTGGTGGCATGTTCTCCAGCTCTGAGGTGCTCCGTCAGGACAAAGGCTTTGTTACTTCATCTCACAGCGCTGTTGGTGTGTCCCATGTGCCCGGAATCAGAGCAGAGGGAGGGGGTCAGGCCCAGTATTGTGCTGCCTGGGAGCTTTTGTTAGGCCCAAGCACTGCCTGGGAGGTTCTACCTTATCCCAGACCTGAGAGAAGAGAGAAGCTTTGGTTGAGCCAGGCCTCTGTTATCTACTGTTGGAAGAGTGATTTACAAGGATAGGGTTATAAGTTAGGCTTAACATGTGTGTTATTACACCACTCCACTGAAAGGCTTGATTCATTATGTAGAATGCACTTAAAGAGGTTTAAACTGATGCATCATGTTAGTATGCAAGTAAAGAAGTTTAAACCGTTGGACTTGCCTGAATGAGCAAAAAAAAAATGCTGCATCTATTTTGGAAAGGTCAATCTAACTGTCAATTATCTACCAGCACATCATGTGTGGAATACAGAAGGGATTAGGAGAGAACTTACATTTGCATGAACATATGCACATGGTAATTTCTAAGTCATGTCTTAGTAAGTGTCAAATACAGTGTTGTTAAAAACAGCAATGACACATTGTCACCCTTCCGTGCTCTGTCACAGACCATGGTTGACTAGTTGCTTCTAAATTGCTTGTTCTCTGTTGGCCAAGTTGTCTGAGTGCTGAAGTTTGGATGTGTCAAGCAGTGGCTTGAACATGTGAGCAGAGGTTAACACAGTCGGACAGAGAGCGAGGGACAGAGTTAACTGTAATCGCTTGACAAAGAGCTATTCATAAGAGGGTTAAACTGATTAGGGGAGAGGAGGATTGAAGAGAGAAATGTTGGGGAAAGGGAGGGGTGGGCTGTCAGGGGCTGGGGTACGGCCCCAGACTTATGATTGTATTCAAATCAAAACACATCCCACAATGCACCTCTGCCCATCTCCCTTAAACACATACGGAACAGACAAAGAACAACAAAACGTCTCTAAACAGAATGATCTGTCTTCCTCCATAGGTGCCACTGTTATTGTAGGATATGAAATTCTGCATATCCCCGCGCATTAGAACGTGTAAATACGTGGCAGTGGGAACCACCATTGCAACATTTACATGTCCATTCCATTACCTCTGAACAATAGAGCATTATCCCAGAGATTTAGCTCTGAAAGGCTGCATGGACCACAATTAACATTTGCCACACACAATCACTGCATCGGAAGAGTTGGCTTCCATAATGTGTGACACCCATCTTGAATGGAATTATGTGGGTAAAATGAATATGATTTTAACTAGTTTCAATAAAGTAAGCATGGGAGCACAGCGATTTTAAATACAATGCAGTACACCACATAGAGCTTCCTTGTATATTAAAACCCCAGGCCATGGTTACATAAAAACAGTTGTCAGAGTACAGGCTTGACAGTTTTCTGGCAGTGCAGTGAGCGGTGCAGCTCAGAAAAAGCTGAGTGATTTTTAACCCGCCATCCACTGGGGGAGAACCTGACTCTGGCTAATGTGAAGAGGGTGGTGTATTTTAGAGAGGCACACTGAACTGAACGGGTGGATTAGAGTTTCCATTTTGCACCCTTCACTGCACACCAGCAGGACTTGTCAGAATAGCGGCTCATTTTAAGGTAGACTGGAGCCATCATGTGATATCTGGGGGTGGAAAAACAGTGAGGAGAAGAGACAGGAGAAAGCAGCAGCTGTTGTTTCTCTGCCTCTGTGTTGTATAGACTAGTGTGGTGGAGGACCTCTGGACATTGTGCTAATGCAGACCAAGGGGGAGTGAACAATGCCTCTGCTGGAGTGTTGCAGGCTCACTGAGGTCACAGAGGTCTCTCACTCATTGGTAGCAGTCTGTGAATTATTGATCCAAATACCCTCCATAACCTCTCCATAACCTCTCATTGTATTCCTTGTGGAATGCAGCGATGGGACGCTTAACCGTTTTTGATCAAACTTGGTCATTTTTTATGAGTATTCAGATTTTGAGTTGGGATGGATTGGAAATTCTTCACAGATTTAATTTGGAACATTATTTTAAATAATGTGGTAGAGACCTGTCTGTCCATCTTAGCAAAAGCAATCATTAACAGGGCACATATTTATTTTTATCTTATCCTAATTAGATTTTTATAAATGGAAGCAATTTGGACCATGGCTAGAAAAGTAATATTCAAATTCAAACAAATCTGCATTTGTCACTCTATGTCAAGGGCTATTGTCTGACCACAGATTCAAATGAAAACAGGCTTTTCTCTCTCTCGCTCTCTTTTTCCTCTCACACTCTCTCCATTTCACACTGTTTTATCAGTCACAAGCCATTTACCCATTCTTTAAATCCAAACATGTTTTCTTCCACGTGTCATTTTTCAAATCACAGGCACAAACCCACCCCCTGTGATCGACCCTCCCTACCCAGTGTTTTGCCGCCGTCGCTCCCCGTTTCTACAGCAACTGAATTCAAATCCAAATGCCCTGCCTGGGGTATTCTTGGTTTCATCACTATGGTAACCTGAGAGAATTACGAGGGGTGGTGTGGGAGGGGGGTTGCCATCCCTTTGTAGTGATGGACAGGCAGGAGGGGAGCAAGAAATGGTTAAGTGTTTGATGGTCAAATGAGAAATTCCCCATTGGTAAGCCAGTTGGCACTACACACTCCAGGTTTTGAAAATCAACACATATGCACACTCACACTGGCATGTATTTTGATTAAATTAGCCATTAGGAATTCCATGGTTTGTGTTTGTTTCTTAATCATTCTTAGAGGTGCTGGAAATCTTAATGAGCTTAAAATGTCCCTCAATATTTAACCACATAGGGGTTTGGTGTGAGAGAGAGTCTGTGTAGTGTTGCACATGAAAGTGTTTTTCCTCCAGTGTACTCACTAGGTGTAGAATCAATTCCATTGCTGTTTGGGAAAAAGCCTGCATAGGACATAGGCAGCTCAGGGAGGATCCCTCACTTTGAGATAACAGCCAATGGATAAAGTATTTCATACACCTGTTATCATTTCAGCACATATTTCCCCCACTGAGTGCTCTATCAGTTATCCTAGTAACACTGACCTGGGATTAAAGGTACCTTTTTATGGAAGCACAAACTCAGCGCTGCCCAGTAAGGGTTGGATCTGTGTTTAAGCAGGTCAGTCAATCACTACCTCGGCACTCAAACCTTACTATTAACCAAAGCAACAGCCCCAGTCAGGAATGTGGGGTTAATTGTTAGTAATTCCTTTTTCAACACAGTGTGGTGTTTCACCCTGCAGCCTCAAGGCTGTGGGTGCATAATTAATCACAAGGCTACCTCTGGCCACCGCTGGCTGAAGGGAAAACATAATGGACAGCTGAATAGTGTTGCTATTGTGTTTTCCTCTGATGTTTTTTGGCATAATTTTAAGGTTGATGTAAATTCAATACATCTCTGTCATACAACACCCTGGAGAGATGACTGCAGGAGCTGAACTACATTTTTACATTTTAGCAGACGCTCTTATCCAGAGCGACTTACAGGAGCAATTAGGGTTAAGTGCCTTGCTCAAGGGCACATCGACAGATGTTTCACCTAGTCGGCTCAGGGATTAGAACCAGCAACCTTTCGGTTACTGGCACAACGCCCTTAACCACTAAGCTACCTGCCGCCCCAACTACAAGATTGTGTGGCGAAAAGATTCAATGATGAGGGTGCTACTCCGTTTCTATTCTCATGGTTATTCAATGAACAGACCAGGTTTCAAATAGGGGCTTTTTACACATTGTGTTGTCAATCATAGGATTTAGTGTACAAGGTGCCTACAGTCTTTTATCCAGATTCTGCAGGCTCTAGAGTTCGATTGGTTATCTATTACAATTGCTTACTACAGAGGCTTATAAAGCCTAAGCATTTATCAGACCTAATCATATTCCTTGTCAGGGTTAATTGGTCAAACTAATTCACCTTGAAAAAGATGTGGAGCCCTTTCCACTCACAGTCACTGTCACCCCATATACGGGTTGAAAATGGCAGATTTTGTAATTGATAAGTGCCTAAATTGGAACGCAGTGGTTGTACAGTAACATGATATACATGTCAGAGCTCAGGTTCTCCGCATCACAGCGCTGTGTGGGTTTTGACTGACAGCCGTTATAAAGTTGAGCACCGCATGCGACAAGAAGATGCCCCCATCCCTCCCGCTAATTGGGCTACTTTTGCACATTTGTTGTTGTCTGAGTGAGTAAATTGTAAATTGAGAGAAGTCAATGTGTTCTGAAAGATGAGACGTTGAGGATTATTAAAAATACCGCTTTGATGTTATACAAGCAAACCACACACCTGTGAGTCCAAATGTGCACTTCACATTTCCATATTTGAAAACTCATGTCATTTAAGTATTAACGTTTACGATCGCTATGTTTGATCCACAGTTACAAGAATGGCATGCGTTATACCCTGGGTTGTCCTGAACAGAATGAGCCTATGTTTCTCAGAAGTGCAATTTAAAAGCATAACACTGTAAGATCATATTTTATAACTTAGCTAGCCATGTTGGCAATAGAACACGCTTTCAAATTATGCCCACCTGACCCAGAGTGAGATTTATAATGGAACATTTGCGTAAACAACAACAGTAATTGTGTGATGGTGGGGACACAGGGCTGTTTTCCAAACAAAAAACTACAAGTGTGCTTGCTTCAGTTCCTCAATGGCAAAGCTAGGAGAGCTAAAAAAAAAAATTGCACCTTATAGTTGAAGCTCTTTCCTTGAGTCATAAAAGTGCATTGAAATTACTTAAGAACTGTGCACAGTTTGGAGAGGCGTGTGGCCACTTGGAGACACCAGTTAGACCTCTCACTCAAACCCTTCTAATAGTTTTTTCTTATCTTGCACCTACTCCAAAATTACAATGAATATTCTTATTATGTTACTGAATGTATCAAGAGTATTTTCAGATTTCGTCATTGACAAATTCTGTGAAAAGTACATCAAATCAACAGTGTAACGTTTGGATTCAGTCTTGTGTCAGGTGAACTGTTGTGTCCTTACCTTTGGTCTGATCATTTCCCAATAATCTTCAAAGTGTTTCCTTGCTATTGCTCAGCCTGGTCTCATAGACTAGACGTAACATAGTAAACGAAAATCCGGGCCATGATATGTTTGGTATGGTTACATAAGACAGAAGGTGACTTAAGGCAAAAATGGGATCAAGACAAAGGAGATGATTGTGGACTACAGGAAAAAAAAGTGGACTGAGCACCATTCTCATCGATGGGGCTGTAGTGGAACAGGTTGAGAGCTTCAAGTTCCTTGATGTCCACATCACAAACAAACTATCATGGTCCAAACACACCAAGACAGTCGTGAAGAGGGCCTATTCCCCCTCAGGAGACTGAAAAGATTTGGCATGGGTCCTCAAAAAGTTATACAGCTGCACCATCGAGAGCATCCTGACTGGTTGCATTGCCGCCTTGTATGGCAACTTGTCGGCCTCCGACCGCAAGGCACTACAGATGGTAGAGCACAGTACATCACTGGGGCCAAGCTTCCTGCCATCCAGGACCTCTATACCAGGCGGTGTCAGAGGAAGGCCCTAAAAATTGTCAAAGACTCCAGCCACCCTAGTCATAGACTGTTCTCTCTGCTACCGCACGGCAAGCGGTACCGGAGCACCAAGTCTAGGTCCAAAAGACTTCTTAACAGCTTCTACCCCCAAGCCATATGACTCCTGAACACCTAATCAAATGGCTACCCGGACTATTTGCATTGTCCCCCCCTCTTTTTACGCTGCTGCTACTCTGTTTATTATCTATGCATAGTCACTTTAACTCTACCCACATGTACATATTACCACAATTACCTGGACTAACCGGTGCCCCCGCACATTGACTCTGTACCGGTACCCCCTGTATATAGCCTCCCTACTGTTATTTTATTTTACTGCTGCTGTTGAATTATTTGCTATTTTAATTTTTTACTTATCTATTTTTTACTTAACACTTTTTTTATTTCCTTAAAACTGCATTGTTGGTTAAGGGCTTGTAAGTAAGCATTTCACTGTAAGTTCTACACCTGTTCTATTCGGCGCATGTGGCAAATAAAATTTGATTTGATTTGATAAAGCTACAAACGTTATTACATTTATGGGTAACTGATTGGGTAAGCCTACATTTGTTTTGTTCTGAGGGGATGCATGAGGTTTCTCTGTGACTGCTCTGTTTATTTTCAAACTGCTTGGCTGTTGCCTGCTAAGCGCATGTGTTTTCCCCTGATGTACTATACACATCCTCTATCATTTAAAACCCTGCATTTGGGAGAGAAAAAAATCATTGAGAGACAGAATCAAAGGGTGGGTACCCTGAAAACCAGGCCTCAGTCACCAGGCAACCAAGAGATCACGTTTCATAGTTGAAAGAAAAAGAGAGGTGTGTGAGTGTGAAACAGAGAGACGTGGGGTGTCTTCCGTTCTCCAGTTTTGTTTTCTCTCTGCCATATGCTCCTCCATAATAAACAAAAACAGGTGGTACATTTCATAAGAAATCTTGATATTTTGACATTGATAAGAGCTTCTCTCTATGTGTTGATCTTGGTACCAAACTGCCTTTACTCTTTTTAATCTATTCTCTTCTGCACTCTTCTTATTGTAAACAACGGGAAGTCTAAATAATATAGTAAAGCTTTCTGAACTATAATCTTGCTTTACTTGTCACAAGTGAATCATGTGTTTGTACTTCCCTAACCCAAGGTCTCTGGCTTCTCTTGAAATTGTATTATCTCCCTGCAATTTTTCTCATTCCATATATTCCATTCATCAGACTGAAAAGCCCTGAGTCCAAACCTCTTGGGGAATGGATGTAATGCATCATTTAATATTTGATACTAACAGCAAACTTTATGGGACAGCATAGTTGATGTCCTCTTGAACCTAGCTGAAAACCCATGAGGTTGGACTTTGACTGTGGTCTTTTGTGACACTGGATGCCTGTGTCCTCTGCTTGGTAAGCCCCCTGTCTGCATGTGCTGACTCTGCTAGTCTGGTTGTGTGTTCTGACCCTGGGGGCTCTCTGTCTCTCTCTGTGCCCAGGCCGTGTGTCTCTGACCCAGGGGGCCTCGCTGCTGGTGGAGGGGCTGAGCCTGGAGGACGAGGGCTGGTTCGAGTGTCGCATCCTACTCCTGGACCGCACCACAGACGAGTTCCGCAACGGCACCTGGACCTTCCTCTCCATCACAGGTGCAGCTCAGTGGGTCTCTGTGGCAGTCAGAGGAACTGGACTAGCCCTTACAGGACAGGAAAACCTCCAGCTGCTCACAACCATCAGTGTTTTCCCTTTAAAATATCCTCAGCATGAGGCTGGAGCATGACAGTCCCTCTCCTGTTTATCTTAAATGGAGTCTTATTGCAGTGTGTGAGCTGTTGTTGCATAATGCTCAGTGTTTTACACAGTGCTCACGTCTCGTCTTTGTCTGGTTCTGCTGTTCACTGTGGGATGACGTTGACACAGGAGTGTCTGTTAGGAGCCACAGGGGATGTAGACACAGTGCATGTGACCTCACCAGGATAGTGGAGGCTAAAGGGAAAACAGTGTTTTGTGTTGCAGTTTCTCTTGTCCTGCATCATTCTCTCCCCCTACTGTCACTCTCTCCTTCTCTCCTTTTCCTATTCTATTTTTCCCATCCACACTCATATCAAAACACATGCCATTCCAATTTACTATCTACCTCCCATCCTCTCTTTCTTTCCATTTGTCTATCTTGTCTTCTTTTCTGCCTCCCTCACGCATCAAATAGGATATCATCAGGGCAAGTATTGTTACATCCAAGTAATGCACCTGCTTACTCAACATGTTTAGGTGATCAAAGGCCACAACTAGCTTACAGATGTAGCAATAACATCATTCATAGTTTCCCATTAGTTATCTAATTGTTAAACAGTAGTTAAATAACAAGCTAGCTAATTGTAATACATTTGTTTAAAGATCAACAAATGTTCCTCTATTACAGCCCCACCTGTGTTTATCAAGACTCCACCTACCTTTGTAGAAGTCTTGCAAGGGGATTCCCTGACCCTCAGCTGTGGTGCCCATGGCAACCCTCGACCAACTGTTATCTGGCATAAAGATGAGACCCCAATTGAGAAACATGAAAAGATGGCGGTATGTAAAAAAAGTGTATGTTTGCTGTTGTTGGATGAAGTTGTTGGTCATGATTCAAAGCATTGGCAATCTCTCTCTCTCGCTCTCTCTCTCTCTCTCTCGCTCTCTCAGGTGCTCAATGGCACCTTGTCTTTGGACACCGTCACCAGAGAGACATCAGGAATGTATAAATGTCAGGTGTCCAACTCGGAGGGGAATCTGACCCATACTACCCAGCTGCAGGTCAAAGGTCAGTGTCTGACTATCTTTTAACCATCTGGGAGAGGCAGAAAGGTCCTCCCTCTGCTGACACTTCAGCTCAGTTAGCGCACCTTAAGGGTCTCTAAGGTATTAACCCCTAAAGTGTCTCTTACATTAGTCCTTAGAACCGTAAGCCTGGTCAACAAGATTTTGGTCATAAAGTCAGTCTATTCAAATCAAATCTAAGACAGTATAACTGAGGTCATCACGACATGAGCGTTGGGTTTGGATTACAATCATGCCCACTTGCCTACTAACACAGGATTGTAACCCCTAGTGAGAAATGTAATGCACGGTGAAACAGCTGCGTGATTGCACTCTATCCAATCATAGCAGCGAACATCCAGACAGTGAGACAGACCTGCCCATTACACAGCACATTTGGCCCCTAAGCCCTTTATGGAGTGGCCACTTGCTGATGTTTCATAGTGATCACTCAAGTCTGCCACTGTTTTGGGCAAAATGAGAATTGAGACGATGCACACTTGCATCCCAACTGCCACTTGTCAATATTCCAACATTCAAACCCCATTCGCCAGCATCTTGTGTCCCACCGCGATCTCGAGACCTTGGGACTATAAGGTTCTGTCTGACATTTTTGTCAAAAATAAGTTAGTCACATATAATTGATCTTAAGATGATTCTTAAGATGGTTCTGTCTATGAAGTTAATTTTAATTGAAACAAATGAAAAACTAGATTAAGGGAAGAGAAAGGGGATGCCTAGTTAGTTGCACAACTGAATGCATTCAACTGAAATGTGTCTTCCGCATTTAACCCAACCCCTCTGAATCAGAAAGGTGTGGGGCTGCCTTAATCGACATCCATGTCATCGGCACCCGGGGAGCAGTTGTTGTTGGGGGTTAACTGCCTTGCTCAAGGGCAGAACGGAAGATTTTTCCACCTTGCTGGCTCATGGATTCGAACCAGCAACCTTTTGGTTACTGGCCCAACGCTATTAACTGCTAGGCTATCAAAACGTTCTATCAGCATAAACCCATTTGAACGTGGCGCGAGAATGTTCTATCTGCAATCCAATAACAAGCCTGAACAAATACAGACGGACCAATCAAAACATACTGTATGTCTTTGCCATCTCGCTCTAATGCTGCGTGTACGTGCTAGTCAGAACTAGGAAAAATGTCTGACTTGCTAAGTGGTTGAACGCGGCACGTGTATAACAGCAACCAGTTAGAAAGTCCTGACGAGCACGTGAAGGTGGCAAAAGTCTTGAAAACTGCTGACATGCAAAACATTTTGTGACTGTATCAAGAGTGGACTAATGAAAAAAATACCAAAAGATAGTTTTTGAGTGGATTTGTCCTTTAATGAGCAGCAGAAAAACACATGCGGAATCTCTCTTTAAGAGAAGGTAAAAGAGTGCAGATCAGAGCTACTGTCATACTGACATCTAGTGGTGGATGGTCTATAAACGCACTGCCCTTGTCACATCAAATCTGATCGTGAAGCTGGTAATTGGCATAAGAATAACTGTATCATTAAGGTTAATCAGTTTAACCACTTGTTTTACAGCCAGATAAAATCGTATATATGCAGTAACTGAAACTCTCCCAACTTCAAAATAGGTCCTCCACTCATCATTATCGCCCCAGAGGACACCACCCTCAACATATCCCAGGATGCAGTTCTACAGTGCCAAGCTGAGGCCTATCCCTCCAACCTCACCTATGAGTGGTGGAAACAGGGACAGAATGTCTACCATATCGAGTGAGTTGACTACAACACAAACACACACAAAAACACCAATTATAGTAGCAACAGGGATATGTGAGAAGCATACTGCACTCTATCTAGGTGCTATCTAGGTTCTAAAATGGTTCTTTAGCTGTCCCCATAGGAAAACCCTTTGAAGAACCCTTTTTGCTTCCAGCTAGAACCCTTTTGGTTCTAGGTAGAACCCTTTTGAGTTCCATGTAGAACACTTTCCAAGTGTGTGTCTTATGTTTTCAAGCATTGATTCGATGTAATCTTACAAAGCCATTGGCACTACAATACAGGTTAATTGGATTGTTAGTAAGTCAGTTATATACCGGTAGCAGCATTGTGACCACAGGTAATCCTTAGACAATGGAGCATATTACAACTAAGAAGATACTAACTCAAGGCCAGGTTGTGATGTGTGTGTGTTTTGTCCTCAGGTATCTCAAGACACGTGTGAAGATCCTAGTGGACGGCACACTCCTCATCCCTAGTCTTGTCCCAGAGGACACTGGGAATTACACCTGTATACCAACCAATGGGCTGATGACCTCACCCTCTGCCTCAGCACACCTCAAAGTCAAACGTAAGAATTGTGGTTGACTATGGCTATGCATGCCTTGATTTCCTGGCTTGTGTGTTTTAGTCCATCTCTGGGAGAAAGACTTACTGTATCTACTTCCTCTGTCTCTCTTAGACCCTGCCAGGGTGGGCCGGATGCCCAGGGAGACGTATCTACCTACGGGCATGGAAGGAGTCATCTTCTGCCCAGTCCAGGCTGAGCCCCCCATGATCTTTGTTAACTGGACCAAAGATGGGAACAACTTAAACCTTGACAATGTAGGCAATCAGGGCAACATGAATCCTATCACACAGTATATCGATCATTAATCTCTGTTGTATTTCATGTTTGTTTTTCTCCTTCTGTCTTTGCCTGCTCAGTTCCCTGGCTGGTTGGTGAACGCCGAGGGCTCTGTGTTTATAGCCACAGCTAATGACAATGCAGTGGGTATGTACACCTGTACTGCCTATAACAGCTACGGGACCATGGGACAGTCTGAACCCACTAAGGTTATCCTGCAGGTAAGGCTGGTCCCCAGGCCTCTGTTCCCTGGTTATGGATTACAGTACTACCTGTAAATGTGTACAAAGAAAAGGTACCGAATTTTACTTAAAGGGTTACAAACGCTTGTCACTGTAGGTACCCTGTAAGGTACAGTGGGGGGGAAAAGTATTTAGTCAGCCACCAATTGTGCAAGTTCTCCCACTTAAAAAGATGAGAGAGGCCTCATCATAGGTACACGTCAACTATGACAGACAAAATGAGAAAAAATTATCCAGAAAATCACATTGTAGGATTTTTAATGAATTTATTTGCAAATTATGGTGGAAAATAAGTATTTGGTCAATAACAAAAGTTTCTCAATACTTTGTTATATACCCTTTGTTGGCAATGACACAGGTCAAACGTTTTCTGTAAATCATCACAAGGTTTTCACACACTGTTGCTGGTATTTTGGCCCATTCCTCCATGCAGATCTCCTCTAGAGCAGTGATGTTTTGGGGCTGACCCTGGGCAACACGGACTTTCAACTCCCTCCAAAGATTTTCTATGGGGTTGAGATCTGGAGACTGGCTAGGCCACTCCAGGACCTTGAAATGCTTCTTACGAAGCCACTCCTTCGTTGCCCGGGCGGTGTGTTTGGGATCATTGTCATGCTGAAAGACCCAGCCACGTTTAATCTTCAATGCCCTTGCTGATGGAAGGAGGTTTTCACTCAAAATCTCACGATACATGGCCCCTTCATTCTTTCCTTTACACGGATCAGTCATCCTGGTCCCTTTGCAGAAAAACAGCCCCAAAGCATGATGTTTCCACCCACATGCTTCACAGTAGGTATGGTGTTCTTTGGATGCAACTCAGCATTCTTTGTCCTCCAAACACGACGAGTTGAGTTTTTACCAAAAAGTTATATTTTGGTTTCATCTGACCATATGACATTCTCCCAATCCTCTTCTGGATCATCCAAATGCACTCTAGCAAACTTCAGACGGGCCTGGACATGTACTGGCTTAAGCCGGGGGACACGTCTGGCACTGCAGGATTTGAGTCCCTGGCGGCGTAGTGTGTTACTGATGTTAGGCTTTGTTACTTTGGTCCCAGCTCTCTGCAGGTCATTCACTAGGTCCCCCCGTGTGGTTCTGGGATTTTTGCTCACCGTTCTTGTGATCATTTTGACCCCACGGGGTGAGATCTTGCGTGGAGCCCCAGATCGAGGGAGATTATCAGTGGTCTTGTATGTCTTCCATTTCCTAATAATTGCTCCCACAGTTGATTTCTTCAAACCAAGCTGCTTACCTATTGCAGATTCAGTCTTCCCAGCCTGGTGCAGGTCTACAATTTTGTTTCTGGTGTCCTTTGACAGCTCTTTGGTCTTGGCCATAGTGGAGTTTGGAGTGTGACTGTTTGAGGTTGTGGACAGGTGTCTTTTATACTGATAACAAGTTCAAACAGGTGCCATTAATACAGGTAACGAGTGGAGGACAGAGGAGCCTCTTAAAGAAGAAGTTACAGGTCTGTGAGAGCTAGAAATCTTGCTTGTTTGTAGGTGACCAAATACTTATTTTCCACCATAATTTGCAAATAAATTCATTAAAAATCCTACAATGTGATTTTCTGGATTTTTTTTTCTCAATTTGTCTGTCATAGTTGACGTGTACCTATGATGAAAATTACAGGCCTCTCTCATCTTTTTAAGTGGGAGAACTTGCACAATTGGTGGCTGACTAAATACTTTTTTCCCCACTGTACGTCCATTGTACCATTAGTTATAGGTACATAATTGTACCCTTGCAGTTCCTTAAAATAGCCAATAGTGTACCATACAGTCCAGTCCACAGGTACAAGAGCATTTAGCCTTTTTAGGGTACCACCACAATTTACCATTACCGAACAGTACCATGTGAGATCATATACACCGAGTGTACAAAACATTAAGGTCACCTGCTCTTTCCATGACAGACTGACCAGGTGAATCCAGGTGAAAGCTATGATCCCTTATTGATGTCACTTGTTAAATGCACTTCAATCAGTGTAGATGAAGGGGAGGAGACAGGTTAATAAACGTCTATATATATATATATATATATATATATATATATATATATATACATAAAGTGCATTCGGAAAGTATTCAGACCCCTTGACTTTTTCCACATTTTGTTAAGTTACAGCCTTATTCTAAAATTGATCAAATAAAACATTTTCCTCATCAATCTACACACAATACCCCATAATGACAAAGCGAAAACAGGTTTTTAGATTATTTATTTATTTTAGATTATTTATCAAAAATAACGTATTTACATAAGTATTCAGACACTTTGCAATAAGACTCAAAATTGAGCTCAGCTGCATCCTGTTTCCATTGATCATCCTTGAGATGATTCTACGACTTGATTGGAGTCCATCTGGGGTAAATTCAATTGATTGGACATGATTTGAAAGGCACAGTTGACAGTGCATGTCAGAGCAAAAATCAAGCCATGAGGTCGAAGGAATTGTCCGTAGAGCGCCGAGACAGGATTGTGTTAAGGTACAGATCTGGGGAAGGGTAGCAAAACAATTCTGCAGCATTGAAGGTCCCCAAGAACACAGTGGCCTCCATCATTCTTAAATGGAAGAAGTTTGGAACCACCAAGACTCTTTTTAGAGCTGGCCGCCCGGCCAAATTGAGCAATCGGGGGAGAAGGGCCTTGGTCAGGGAGGTGACCATGAACCCGATGGTCACTCTGACAGAGCTCCAGAGTTCCTCTGTGGGAGAACCTTCCAGAAGGACAACCATCTCTGCAGCACTCCACCAATCAGGCCTTTTGGTAGAGTGGCCAGACGGAAGCCACTCCTCAGTAAAATGCACATGACAGTTTGCCAAAAGGCACCTAAAGGACTCTCAAACCATGAGAAACAAGATTCTCTGGTCTGATGAAACCAAGATCGAACTCTTTGGCCTGAATGCCAAGCGTCACGTCTAGAGGAAACCTGGCACCATCCCTACGGTGAAGCATGGTGGTGGCAGCATCATGCTGTGGGGATGTTTTTCAGCGGCAGGGAGACTAGTCAGGATCGAGGGAAAGATGAATGGAGAAAAGTACAGAGAGATCCTTGATGAAAACCTGGTCCAGAGCGCTCAGGACCTCAGACTGGGGCGAAGGTTCACCTTAAAACAGGACAACGACCCTAAGCACACAGCCAAGACAACGCAGGAGTGGCTTCGGGACAAGTCTCTGAATGTCCTTGAGTGGCCCAGCCAGAGCCCGGACTTGAACACAATCGAACATCTCTGGAGAGACCTGAAAATAGCTGTGCAGCGACGCTCCCCATCCGACCTGACAGAGCTTGAGAGGATCTGCAGAGAAGAATGGGAGAAACTCCCCAAATACAGGTATGCCAAGCTTGTAGCGTCATACCCAAGAAGACTCGAGGCTGTAATTGCTGCCAAATGTGCTTCAACAAAGTACTGAGTAAAGGGTCTGAATACTTACAATACCAGTCAAATGTTTGGACACACCTACTCATTCAACGGTTTTTCTTTATAGTGAAGACATCAAAACTATGAAATAACACATATGGAATGATGTAGTAACCAAAAAAGTGTTAAACAAAGCAAAATATATTTTATAGTTGAGATTCTTCAAATAGCCACCATTTGCATTGATGACAGCTTTGCACACTCTTGGCATTCTCTCAACCAGCTTCACCTGGAATGCTTTTCCAACAGTCTTGAAGGAGTTCCCACATATGCTGAGCACTTGTTGGCTGCTTTTCCTTCACTCTGCGGTCCGACTCATCCCAAGCCATTTCAATTGGGTTGAGGTCAGGGTATTGTGTTTGTAGCCCAAACGGTTCGGACGCTACAGACAGAATCAACTCAATATTAGGAAGGTGTTCCTAATGTTTGGTATACTCGGTGTTTGTACCTCTGAAGGTACATTATGTGTATTTTATATTTCTGTACCCCAGGGAACAATACTGTACCCTAACCGTACCCTTTTTTCTGAGAGTGTATGGACTTAAAACTCTCTCCCTCTGCAGGACCCACCCTCATTCTCGGTGTCCCCTCGTCCTGAGTACCTGCAGGAGGTGGGTGGGGAGCTGGTCATCCCCTGTGAAGCTGATGGAGACCCCTCTCCCAATATCACCTGGAGCAAGGTGAGGTGTCCCCGATAGACACTGCTGAAGGAACCACAGACATCATAGCCCTCTCTCTCTCTCTGTCTACTTACGCTAATCTCTACATGTTGTCCCTTTCATTTGTAGGTTGGTCCCATTCCTCGCTCCCCATACACTGTGCTGTCCAATGGCTCCCTCTACTTGAAGCCTCTCAGCAAAGACCACCAAGGGGGCTGGGAGTGCCTTGCCACCAACCGTGTGGCCACCATCGGCACTGCCACTGTGGTCTTGGTGCTGGGTGAGTGCCCACTGCATGGAGCAACATGGTACAAGACATGCTATACTATTTACATACACACTAGTGTATACATTTCCACTGGTGTATTCTCATTGTCCTCCTCATCCTCCTCCCAGGCACCAGCCCTCATGCTGCCTCATCTGTATCTGTCAGTACTGGGATGAACCAGGCCAATGTGTCCTGGGAACCTGGCTTTGATGGAGGATACACCCAGAAGTTCACTGTCTGGTTAGTAACTAATCTCAATGTTTATCAGAATGATACTCAACTCAACGCTGCCCTCTGGAACATGGGGTTGAATCTCTGTGTCCCACCCTCTTGCCCCCAGGGTTAAGCAGGCTTCCAGGGGGAAACATGAGTGGGGATCTCTCTCCGTGCCCACTTCCAAGTCCCACCTGTTGGTGACAGGGCTGCTGGCTGGCACCAGCTACCAGTTCAGTGTCCTTTCTCAGAACAAACTGGGCTCCGGACCCTTCAGTGAAATCACCTCTGTCAGGACGCATGGTCAGTACAAATTTTAACTGACAAAGTACTTTTTAATTTGTCTGTATTGGACACTGATCTACAGTCTGATCTTATCCTGTCTCTCCTCCACAGCCCTGCCAACATATCCACCGACAGTGGTGACCACTCAACCAACTCTCGACCCTCCCTTGTTCCTGTCAGCCAATCGGACAGTGCTGGGGATTGTCCTGCAGTGGTATTCTCCTGAGTCTCAGGCCACACTCCTCACTGGGTATGTCCTCCAGGCTCGACGGGACAGAGGCCAATGGGTCATTCTCAACAGTGCTGTGAAGGCCAACCAGAGTGAACTACTGGTGCAAGGATTACTGAGGGTGAGAGGCAATGATAATTTTGGACCTTGGCAGAATGAATGAAGACACTGACTATTTGATAAATGAGGTGTAATGATAAATAAATTAACTGTAATCTGAAGGCCATGACCTCCAAGCTTTAATGTGTTTTCAGATACGTTGCCCAGAATTGTGTCTATTGAACACTAGTCCTTCTCCCCTCTCCCCTCTCAGGACAGCAATTACGATCTGAGATTGATGGCTCGCAGTAACAAACTACTGAGTGAGCCCAGTGAGTCTGTCAATGTGAACACCACAGGTTAGTATCATTATTGTACAGCCAGCTCTGGTCAACTGTATGATAGAAACACTGTTTAGTTTCATAAAGCCTAGACTAAACAGTCCTAAATATTATGTAGCAGGTATATAAATTGTGCTTGATAATAATCAATGTTCATAACACTGGTCATTATGTTGATAAATGTATTACGTAGGTATTTCTGATTGTTAGCCAAAAGCATGGCTGTCTCTACACTGTTGGTAGTGCATTACTCAGACACTATGCCTGGTATGGTTGCAGGGATGGAGATGTACCCTGTCCGGCCAGGCTTCCTGGAGTTTGTCCCTGAGCCCCTATTGGCTGGTGTGTTGGGCGGAGTGTGCTTCCTGTTCGTGGCCATCATCCTCTCCTTGGTGACAGCCTGTGTTATGAGTCACAGAAGAGCCCATCGGCGCAGGAAGAGGAGAGATGGTAAAGACTGCTGTATCCTAACATTTCTCTGATACTAAGACAGACAATTTCAAGCTTTTGTTTTATTAGAGGTTATCTTTAAGAAAGTATTTTCAAAGCCTACTAAGCCTACTACTCCAAGGCTTTGGAGTTCCAAAGCCTTGGTGACTGGAGCAACTCTTTGTAACTGTCAAGTGGTTCCTTTGCATGCTATGCATGTTAATCTACACTGAGTACACAAAACATTAAGGACACCTGCTCTTTCAATGACAGACTGACCAGGTGAATCCAGGTGAAAGCTATGATTCCATATTGATGTCACTTGTTAAATACACTTCAAATCAGTGTAGATGAAAGGGAGGAGACCGGTTAAAGAAGGATTTTTAAGCCTTGAGACAATTGAGACATGGATTGTGTGTGTGTGCCATTCAGAGGGTGAATGGGAAAGACAAAATGTTTAAGCGCCTTTGAACGGGGTATGGTAGTAGGTTCCAGGCGCACTGGTTTGTGTCAAGAACTGCAATGCTGCTGGGTTTTTCACACTATACAGTTTCCCATGTGTATCAAGAATGGTCCACCACCCAAAAGAAATCCAGCTAACTTGACACAACTGTAGGAAGCATTGGAGTCAACATGGGCCAGCATCCCTGTGGGATGCTTTCGACACCTTGTAGACACCTTGTTCGACACCATGCCCCAACAAATTGTTTACTCAGTGTATTTCAGTTGACAGCATTTCTTTTCATCCCATCTATTTGTTTATTTTACATGTGCCATTGTTTGACCTTTTCACCCTTCCCCGCCTTTTCAGATCTCCCCTCTGCCTTCCAGAAGAGTCCTTCTCCAGAGTAAGTTCCCATCCTTACCAGCATGTTTCCCTCATTGCATTGGCTGTCTTCTCACCAACCCACGTTTCATTCTTGTGTATTTTTTTGAGAATCATTGCAAATGAATGTGTATTTATTTGATCTGCTACTCATAACAAGCATAACTATTTGTATCCACTGAATGCATCCTTACATATTGTTCTTCTAAGCTTGAGACAATAATGTAATAATGCATTAACCTGTACTGTTTAACTGAACTCATCTCTCCTCCTTTATGACTCTTCTCTTCCTCAGAGCTCGCTCGCCTTCTGACAGCCCCGACAGCGTCCTGAAGATGAAGTTGTGTCCTCCCCTGTCTTTCTTCCCCAACTCCTCGTATTCCCAGGCTGATCGTTCCTCCTTCGATAAAGGCAGCATTGGAGAGTACCAGGACCAGCGCAGGCAGCTCCTGTCCAGCTCTTCTTCCCCACCACATTACACCCTCTTTGAGAGCCACCTGGGGGGTAAGGCCCCCTCACCGTCTGCTCTGGAGTCCATCTTAAGAGGCCCAGATGGACGTTTCATTGTCCAACCCCTGCCAGAGGCGTCTACTCTTTCTAACATGAAGAAAAACGTGAAAACAGTCTTCCTACAAACCCAAACCAATGGGGGAGGCAGCGGCACAGGGAGCAACCAGACATCTTTCAGAGGCTCTCCAAAGTCCAGCAGTCTGAGCTCTGAGAGGGGAGAGAGAAAGGACTCCCCCCTGACAGTGGAGGTTACAGAACTCAGCAAGCCCCCTGCTTCCCCGGGTAGAGTGAGGGCAATGGCCAGGAACTTCTCCCGTCATGGCTGCTTCTACTCTGATGACGAGCAGGGCTTCTCAGAAGCTCTGCTGGAGAGAGCCAGTTTCCACTCCGACAGGAGTGAGAAGAGAGCATGTGACTCCCTGAAAAGATACCGATCTGGGCACCCAGAAGACATCTTCCCCAGCCTGGGCAGGAGAGCCAGACTGCTGGAGAGGGACAGGCATCACCAAGCAGACTACCAACCCATGGAGAGAGAGAGCCAGCTGACCAATGCCTGCACACTGGTCTCACAGATTGACACAAGTGAACAAGAGCAGGATAACCTCAGAAAGTGTCTGCAGCTGGCCAAAGAGAGGGAGATGAGGGAGTTGGATACCTATACCGCCAGCCAGAGGGCAAGGGAGCGGGAGAAAGAGGAGAGACAGCCTGAAAAGGCAGCAAGCCCTAACAGGGAACTGAGCAGTTCAGGGGCTGAGGATCCTATATGGAAGCCACAGGACATTACCTTACGTCCCAAAGCCCACCGGGCATCCGGGCAGACCCATCAGCTGTCGGACTATAGGAGGGCCTGCTACTTTGGGAACACCAGCAGCCCAATGGACCGGCTCCCTTCCTCCTACATCCAATGGGACATCAGCCCAGTCACCTCTATCAACAGCCTTATCCCAGTGCAGAGCCCCTTAGAGAGCACCACACCGAGGTCCCAATATCCTCACCAACGTCATGCTGGGCCAGCCATGGAGGACTCACTACCTGTGGACTGCTCACGCTGCCCAGTCACTCAATGCACCTCTCCATCTCTGCTCTCCCCTACCTCAGAAAGCCCACCTATCAGTCAAGGAACAGCCAGAAACATAGGCAGAGCCAGGTCAAGGAGTCCTGACAGAACTGTAGAAAGAGAGCAGGACATGTATCGTAGAAGGTCAATGGTTGAGGAGGGCTGGAGGGAGACAAAGCAGCCAGGGGGAGGTGCCTTAAAGTCAAGATTGTCCTTTGCTAATGGTACACAGCATCTGGAGCCAGAAGCTGAAAGATCTATTTCAGCAGATCGAGTGAGGGCCACAAGTTCGGGCCAGCCTTACCCAGGCACTGCACCATACAGTCTGTCTGAGAGAACAGAGACAATAGATGATAGGGAGAGATTAAATCAGAGTCCCTCTGGTTACTCTACCTTGCCCTATGAGCTCCACAAAGCAGGGGCCAAAGGGAAAGTGAGAGATGATCAAATTGGGGAAGACCTTCAGAGTTCACTGTCATACCCTGAGCAGGAGAGAGAGGGTGTCAGAGCACGCTCCAGAAGGAGTGATAGGGCTCTTTTTAGTGACAGCCCCAGTCACATTTCCCCCTTAACCCTTCTGGAAGAGTGTGAGAGCGATCAGTCCCAGTTCTCTGTAGCCAGAGTATCAGAGTCTTTCAAGAATAAGCCGGCAACCCAGGCACTCAAAATGTCCCCACTGCAGACAAGTGCGATTCTGGAGTATTTGAGCCTCCCAGGTTTCATTGAGATGAGTGTGGACAACCCTGGGGATGAATCTGAACTCATAGACACTGCTTGCAAAAGCGTAGAGCCACAGACAGAGACTTCTCTGGAAGGTAAGCCAGACGTGGTTCCAAAAAGACTGGGATGTTCATGTGCAGGAGAACCTAGAGACAAGTTCAAGCCAAAAAACTGTTTCTTTTTTAGAAAACAGACACTTTGTTGGTCCAGCAGGAACTTCAAAGGCAACTGAGAAGCCCGACTATAGATACTCTCTGCAAGTGCAAGCAAGAGATTCAAGCCACAGCGCTGGGATTCCAGACAAGTCAAAAAAACTATCACCCGGTTCAGAATACACAGGGAATTATCGTTATTATGAGCAGTCACAAACACTTATTAGTCAAAAGACCACAGGCTCAGAGAGACCACCATCGAGAATGGGTTTATGTCCAGCCCAGACATTGGTTGGTGCAGATAAAAGCATGGCAGAAGTTGTGTCAAAACACACTAATACTTTTGCAGGGAAACCAGAGTCAGCTTCAGAACAATCCCAAAGACTTCATTCTCAGGGCAACAGGACTAATAAAATAGCCTCTAGGATCTATCAACCCCCTGCACCGTTCATCAAGAAATCTCTGAGCATTGGCCCCTGCAGAACACTTTCAGGCATGGGACAGCCTCGTCCATTCCTAAAAAAGTCCATCAGCTTAGGGTCACAGAAATGGGAGCATTTTGAAAGTCCAAGGACTTATGTCTCAGAGAAATGTTACTGGGATGAGTTCCCAAACCCAGACGTCCGGGTCAAGTCGTATAGTTTAGGAAGCACCCCTGCATCCTCCTTCTCCAGACCAGGCCCCTTGTGGCGGGAAGGGGTCCCGTTTAGACAGCCGAGGGTAGGAAGCTTGGAGAAGCCTCTGTATGCTGACAGATCCTTGGAGAGGCCTCGGTATGACAGACCCCTAGCCAGCTCTTCCTATACCTACCTCAGCCCCTCCATGTACCCAGCAAGACAACCCCCAGCCTCTGTTAGACGAGACTTATCTGATCCGTGTAGACAGGCCACTGCTTATCCTGATGCCTCCAGGTCGCCTATCACATATCAGGATGCTCTGAGGTCTGTACAGCACAGATATGTCTCTATGAACTCCTCAATACCCCAGTACCCACCCAGACTAGACCAGTACCCACCCAGACCAGACCATTACACACCCAGACCAGGCATGAGGGGGGACTACCCCAGACCGATGGAGTCCAAGAGGGGCCCACCGAGGCCCGACCTGCCCCGGATGTACAGCTGGCCCTCACACTACCATGGTGGCCCTTTCCCAGCCAGAGATGTAGATAGTCATAGAGAGGCAGAGAGAGGGACAGGGAAGGGGGCAGGGGCTGAGGCAGAGATGAGAGACAACAGGGAAGGAGGGAGGGCCAGTTATGCCAGTCAGAGCAGTGGGAGAGGTAGCATTGGCCTCCTCCGTCAGTCCCTCTCTATCACTCCCACCCTTCTCAGCTCCCCAGAGACAACAGAGGAAAGTGAGACACAGACACACAGAGCCGAGATGGATCTACGTGAGCAGAGAAAAAAAAGGTGAAACTACCGCACCAGTCCAACATCACACACAGATGTCTTCACAGCTAAAGAAATTGAGGATATTGCCAAAATGCCATTGATTAACTTTTAAATTATTGCTATTGTCCCCTGTATGTCTGACTCTGACCACTTGTTTTGTGTGTCTGTCACTAGAAGGAACACATCAGTAGATGAGAGTTATGAGTGGGATTCCGCTGATGTCTGTGTGGATTTGGAAGTCCTGGAGGCCATGAAGCCACAGGCAGGGGTAGGGAAGGGCAGGGGGGAGGGCAGGCATGATCAACCCCGTTCTGTGGCTGGCCTCCAGGACCTCTACAGGAAAGGTAAGACAATTGTATTTTATTACTCACCACACTGAATGTATCATATCATGAGTGAATACATGTGCCTTTTGTTGTGGTTGTGGTGATGTGAGCTGTACCCATGACTCTTCCCATTCCATGCTGTTCCTCTCGATCCTGCCCCTCAGGCCTTCCTCCCTCAATCAGTCCACCAGTTTCCAACCTACCTCACTGCCAATACACCCGCTCCCTAAGTGAGGCACGCTTCAACGCACTCCGCCTGGAGTACCAGGAGTACAGGCGCTCTCAGGGATCATCCTGCCCCAGTGATCCCTGCCTCCCCCCCGACACAGACTCTGACTCCAACTCAGCGCTGCTCTAACCGCCTGCCCACCCTGGTCCGTTCCTCTCTACCTGCTACTGCTACCCCCTCACCTTCTCTTTGACTTCTCACTGCCTGCCTCTGTCCCTGCTAGTTTTCATCCATCTGTTGTGAAATTGTGCGTTCACTTTTTCTGTTCATTTTAAAACACTGTATTTTTAAGCAAAGCACCAATTTATACTAGCTAATGGAATCATAATCTTACAGTATTTTGATATTTGTCTTTCTGAATCTTATATTGTTTGTCCTGGGAATGTGTTTAACGGTGTGCTGTATTCTATCATTTTGTGTTTCAGATATGTCAAAGAAAGCAACCAAATAGTTTCTCAGATGCCGAGAACTGACAGTACTGTGGTCCTGGATATATGCCGGATATCTTTTTTGAAGCTTCATGATACCGCAACCTCGTTTATATATGTACAAAATCCATATCCTCAACCATTCAACTGGATCCTCTGTGGACGGAACACTGTCAAAAGTGTAACCAACTGAAAAAGACAGGATATGCTTGATCATATGGTGCACATCGTACACACCAATTGCCACAGAATAATACTTGGCCCTGATTGGAGCCTGTTATGAGATGCTGGATATATATATTTATTGTGTTTTGGTGAAACTGACCATGGACCTTTCAAAGAGGCAAGTACAAATGTAAACCAAAACAACAAGTGTTTTATGGGCTTTTGGTAAGCTTGGACAATCAAATACAGTTGGCCCTCTTTAAAAAAGATATTGGACAAAGTCACTGGATTCATACTTGTACATAACCACTAGGCCAGCTAATTGTGGCAAGCTATAATGGCTAGCTAGTTAGTGGTGCGCACTAGTGGCATTTCAATCGGTGACGTCACTCGCTCTGAGACCTTGAAGTAGTTGTTTCCCTTGCTCTGCAAGGGCCTCTGCTTTTGTGGAGCGACGGGTAATGGTGCTTTGAGGGTGACTGTTGTCGATGTGTGCAGAGGATCCCTGGTTCAAGCCCAGGTAGGGGCAAGGAGAGGGACGGAAGCAACACTGTTACATTGGTGCCGTGACCCGGATCACTGGTTGCTGCGGAAAAGGAGGAGGTCAAAAGGGGGGTGAGTGTAACCGGTGTGAAATGGCTAGCTAGTTAGCGGTGCACACCAGTGGCATTTCAATCGGTGACGTCACTCGCTCTGAGACCTTGAAGTAGTTGTTTCCCTTGCTCTGCAAGGGCCGAGGCTTTTGTGGAGCGACGGTTAACGGTGCTTCGAGGGTGACTGTTGTCGATGTGTGCAGAGGGTCCCTGGTTCAAGCCCAGGTAGGGGCGAGGAGAGGGACGGAAGCAACACTGTTACACCTGAGATCTGTATTTCAAGTCTACAGAGTATTTCACATCAAGGACAGTCTTTTTGCTACCACCACCCTTTTATGAACATTTGTGAAAACATCAGTCAGTTTATGACAATGTATGGATCTGTATGTGAAAACATTGAATATGAAGATTTAGTAAAGTACTCAACACAAACAGTATTTTGTCTTTAGCCACCTAAATTGCATGTGCTTTGAGTGAGCGAGCCTTCATCTTTGTATTGCATTGTTACAGTGAGTGGGTAGCTAGCTCACCATTACCTGAGTAGAAAGACGTGTTTATTAATTTCCCAATTACACAGGTAAATCTCCCTCATTGATGCGTTTGTAATCATACTCAGTTTTCTCAGCAGAGTATTTCAGACTAACAGGAAAGTGTTGAGTGATTGCTGTAAGTTATGTGTCAATGTTTTCATGTACTGTAGCCCTAGACAATTACACCTTGTATTTTTGGTACCATAGCGACTCAACATCTTAATCCTTGATCATATGAAAAATATGTTATAAAGTTGTCCATGACAGGGAAAGGTTGTGTATCATCTTTGCTTTACCTTTGTCCAAAAGAACAGTAGTTCACCATTCACAAATGGTTGAACATTATTCCCAAATTAAGCCTATATTAAATTATTGGAATTCAAGAATCACAATAAGGCTTGAGATTAAGTACTGTATATAATGTATATCATCACCTTTTGTACTACAAGCATTATTGAACATTATTGTATATTTATTAACATGCGTTTTGATATGCAGCAATGTTTACATGCAAGTTCACATTATTGATGTGAAAAGCACACTGTGAATGTACTCCATTAAGCTGAGTTCTGCTGGAATAAGTAGTCCCCATTTACTGTTCTACATTTTATGGCCAAAATTGTGTCCTGACATTTGTCATTTAATGACAAAACTGTACATTATAATGGAACTGTTTTACAGTAACCAAGAGAGATATTTCTAATACAATTTCATAAAATAAAAAAAGGAAATAATTTAAGCCAGTATTCTACTTAAGGAGCAGTTGTATCTGTAAATTTGGAGTACATTGGCATTTTTTTATTAAGTTTGATGTTTTGTACAAACTGGATGTTTTTCAATATCTGCTCATTTGGGTGTTGTCATTGTCGATTTTTTTTTGTATTGAATAAAATAAAATAAATCTGAATGTAACAGAATGTGACGTTATGATTTGACATTGAAAAGTCTTGAACAGGGTCCTGAACTATCCAGTTTGCACCCATGTTCATTTTATTGGTCATAGTAAGTGAGATGGAACTCAGAGTGAATCATTCACAGACTTTACACCTTTACTTATTTCACAGACTTTACACGAGGTCAGCATTCAGTGAACTGGGTTCAAAACGGAGTGATGCATAATTTATGATTATAATGCTGCGTCCTACAGCACAACTCTTCTCAGACGGGATTTCAGCACAGCTTGTGCCTTCTGTCTCTCTTCTATTTTGGAGTTTATGCTCTGTTTGATGACCGAAGATCAATCTTTCTCTCATGCCAATTGGCGCTAGGGTTTGAGGCGTTATACGTGTCTACCTCGATTGTAAAATGTAATATTCAACTAACAACTGATAAGGCAATGCCGCAGTAGAGTGATTATTGGAAGACTCGAACTGCTCATGCAACGAGACCCGGAAGTGACGACTGCTAAGGGGAGGAGAGTGGACGATTTTAAGTGGAAATGTCAGTTCAAACTTCTTAGAAAGACTGTTGTGGAGAAGTGGAGGAAGGGAGACTGTAGGGGGCACAATGTGTAGCTACAGCTCAGACTGCTATGGAATGGAATGACTAGCTAGTGTAGTCCAGGGGACGGAATGGAAGATATGAGGTCTGATGTGATCGCGTGCTGCTAAAATTGCTTAATCGTTTTGGTTGGTTAGTTCAGCATTGTAATTAGTTGGTATTGCTAGATAGCTAGCTAACTGTAGTAAGCTAGCTATATGCTAACAGCAGCTAGTTAAACTAACTAGTTAGCTAGATAGATTACATTGAATTCTGCTCCATTGTGGCTACAGTATCTATCTAGCTCTCTCTCACAAACGTTAGCTAGCCAACCAAGCTAAACTCAAGTTTATTGTAAATCATGGAGTTGAGTTAGCTTGGCTAGCTAACTAGCTGTTTTAGATGCTGACCAGATGGGCCACTTCGCTTTTCTAGCTAACTTAGGTAGCTCTATAGCAAACAGTTTACCTGCCGCCGACGAAGATGGCGGCCTCGCGACTAGCTCTTAGGAAACTTTGCAGTATTTTGTTTTTTTATGTATTTTTTTACATTATTAACTCAGCAAGTGTTTTGTATCATTACATACAGCCGGGGGAAACTATTGGACATCAGAGCGGCAGTAACTCACCAGCATTACGACCAGGAATACAACTGACAAAGATAAGACAGCCTATAGGGAGGAGGTCAGAGACCTGGCAGTGTGGTGCCAGGACAACAACCTATTCCCTCAACGTGAGCAAGACAAAGGAGATGATCGTGGGCTACAGGAAAAGGAGGGCCGAACATGCCCCCATTCACATCTACAGGGCTGTAGTGGAGCGGGTCGAGAGTTTCAAGTTCCTTGGTGTCCACATCACCAACAAACTATCATGGTCCAAACACACCAAGACAGTTGTTCAGGAGACTGAAAAGATTTGGCATGGGTCCCCAGATCACAGCTGCACCATCGAGAGCATCCTGACCGGTTGCATCACCGCCTGGTATGGCAACTGCACGGCATCGGACCGTAAGGCACTACAGAGGGTGGTGCATACGGCCCAGTACATCACTGGGGCCAAGCTTCCTGCCATCCAGGACCTATATACTAGGTGGTGTCAGAGGAAGGCCCAAAAAATTGTCAAAGACTCCAGTCACCCAGGTCATAGACTGTTCTCTCTGCTACCACAGAGCAAGCAGTACCGGAGCTCCAAGTCTAGGTCCAAAAGGCTCCTCAACAGCTTCTACCCCCAAGCCATAAGACTGCTGAACAATTAATAAAATGGCCACCTGGACTATTTACATTGACCCCCTTTAGTTTAATTAGCTGTTGTTAGCATATAGTTTGCAACAGTTAGCTCATTAGCTAGCTATCTAGCAATACCAGTACCAATGAATTACAATGCTGAAGCAACCAACCAAAACAATTAAGCAATTTTAGCACACGATCACAACATCCGACCTTTTACCTTCCTTTCCGTTACACTAGCTAGTCATTCCACATAACATAAGTTTCCACTCAACATTCCATAGCAGTCTGAGCTGCCCCCTACTGTCTCCCTCCCTCCACTTCTCCGCAACAGTCTTCCAAATAAGTTTGAACTTAAGTTTGCAATGAAATGTCCACTTAATCGTCCACTCTCCTCTTCTCGTTGCATGAGCAGTTGGAGTCTTCCAATAATCACTCTATTGCGGTATTGCCTTATCAGTTGTTAGTTGAATATAACATTTTACAATTGAAGTATAGACACATAACGCCTCATAGTTCTGTTTCCATCAGGCCTATCATGACATTTTTTATCAGACATGTACTCTACTCGCATAAAAAGGTTGTTGGATGGAAACCTGTTTAATCATTTTAACTGTTTTGCTATTTTTATATAGGTTCTGCCCACTATGCTTCCCGTTTGCTCCCACTGTAAACGATACAGATGAACTATCCTGGATTAGTTATAAATATCTTTGGCATTAGTTTGAACTGAGGGGGCAAATTTTTGGCGTCCTTATGCTTCCAGACGAAACCGTTCGGAAGAGTAAGTGCATATATTATGACGTTTTTGTTCGTTTTTTACTTAATTATAATGAATTCTTATCACTTTACAAGATCCCTGTAACGCCTAAAGATTTTTGCAATTGTTTTAGATGCCATTCCCTCAGGTGTTGCTTTATTATTCAGGAACGTGTCAAGACCCTCAGAACATACCTATCAGTTGGAAAGATTTGTTATTTTGGTCTATTCAACAACAATATAGCTATTCGAGCCTTGTTTCAGCGGGATGTTGTAATGTCATGCCCTATTGGAAATGTTTTATTGATAATATCTGTTGGGAAAACGTTTGGATGCTGCTACACACATACCTACTTATTAACAAAATGTAGGAAGTTTCGTTTAAAATTATTTATAAATATTATCCTGCCAATCACTATATGAAGAAGTTCAAGAAAAACATAAATTCAAATTGTACCTTTTGTAATGACCACCCAGAAACGGTGTTGCATCTTTTTTTGGCATTGTATTCATGTAAGAAATCTGTGACAAGACATCAGTAGATTTATAATTGAACACATTTATGAAGATGTTACACTATTATGGAGAGATGTACTACTTGGATTCTTTACCTACGATATAAATAAATTGAAACAATTTAATGTAATTAATTTAATTCTTTTGGCCAAATTTCAGATTCACAAATGTAAATTTACAAACAAAACACCACATTTTCTTACCTTACAAAAATAAATTGAACTATATTTTATGACAATTAAATACTCTACCAACAAAAAAGCTGTTAGAATTATAAATGTGTGTATGTCCCTTAAGGTCCTTGTGTAATGGACTTTAACTCCAAACTCTGTTCAAAACTTGACCTTTGTCAAGCCATGACTGTCATATACCAAGTTGAGTCTCAACCCATATCTCGTCATTCAATAACCAGGTGTAGACCCAAACCGCACAGTAGTGCATGAATTAACACACCATATATTACCACTTTCTCTTGCTTTACATGTAAGGATCATGTCCTTAATGCCATTTACATGCAAATTGCTAAAAGCTTCAGTGGTGAAAATAAGATTCAAGTATTGAATCTCTGCCATCGTAAAAGGAAGCTTTCATGCACTCAAGCACCCACAATCAAGAAATAAGTGTGTTCATTAGTGTATGTTGATTATGGAAAGGAGAGTAGGCTATTTGCAGAGAATTTCCATTTGGTACAATTATTGGATCACATATCTGTGTATGTATGTATGTTTGTTATGAGGCCAATAGTGGTGCTCATAGAGAAGCATGGATGTAAGAGAAAGAAGCGGCCGGGCTGGCTACATTAAGGCATGTATGCAGGAGGCGGCTGGAACTGGTTGGCAATGTCATAATCAGCAGGATATGTTTCACTGCTCTCCTCCATCTCTGAGAGAAGCTCCAGAGCCTGCTCTTCCTCCTCTGTGGGGTAGTGGCGCAGCAGGTTGGCAGCTGTGGCCAGAATGGAGGCTCCACCAGCACCCGCCACCAGGTAGAAGCTGACGGCAAAAGTGACGTAGATGAGGGATCCGTGGTACTTCTTGTGCTGCTGCTGTAGTGACAAGATGAGCTCTGAGGCCCAGTAGCAGAACCCTATCACTGTGGCACACTGCAACCATACAAAATAACAGCAGGCAGAGAAAGAAGAAACATTTTATTTTTAGATTTCCATTGTTTCTACCTTGCCTTGCAATTGTTTTCACACTCAGCTGAAAAGCTGATTCCCTCTCTTGTTCACCACCCAAACCCCTTCATACCTGTGAGAATGTGTGCAAATGCATATCTGCGGGTGATCTTGAGGGCAGGGTGCTTGGGCCCAAAGACATCCAACAGGAAAGCTGTCAGGCTGCACAGGATGCCCAGGAAGCAGAAGGCAGCAATGACCCTTATCAGCAAGATGGTCTGGGAGTTCACGCAGTAATCTTTAGGAGAAGTTCGTGATAGTTAACACAAACCACAGGTCGTATGTGTAAACATGCCAATGTGATTTCACATTCGGTGCTTCGAGACACTATTGACAAAATCATGACTTACCCTCCATGAGTTTTGGGTCAATGTATCCCAGGACATCAGCCACTCCAAGCTCCTGTCTGGGACACGTCCCTCCGTGAACTCGGACCCAAGCTGGTTCGGCCAAGGCCGTACATAGAGCCGTGATGGAGAGTGCTCCGGGGAGGGCAGATGCCAGGCTTCGCTCTGGCTGCTTGGGAAGTGCGGTACCCCCTCTCCTTCGTCGGCTTCCAGGGACAGTGGCACCAGGTGGTGCATACATTGTCATTCAGTTTCCTATTTGTCTTCAACCAGGACTCAGTGCCTGATGTATATCTATGATATGTCACTCAAAGGACGGACAGCTTTCGTTTGACAATGCGCCCTTATAATCAGCTCACCAAAACCGATAGTGACGGTCAAATGGTTACATTATTTGTATAATTGGTTTAAACTGTTGAGTCCCAATGTGTGATATGATAAATTACTCAAAAATAGACCGATAATTTTCAGTCTAACTAGCTAAGATCTCGATCTAGGCCTGTTAGCAGCAGAAGTTAGCTATTTAACGTTACTTAGTTTTAGCCGTATAACGTTAGCTTGCTAAGTCTAAAATCCTAATTGAATCACTTCAAACAAAACAGTAACGTGAATTGGCATAATAAATAAAATCTGATGATATGATACTCACAATCTGGCCAAGAAATGTATCTAAAACGCCCAAATCAGGATTTATACTAGCTCTTAAGCTAAAAACAAAAGGCAGCCAATTCGCTAGCTAGCTTCCTGTAAAATTGTTTCCTTCCTTGTTCTTGTTCTTGTTCTTCTGTGGATTTATATAGCGGTTGGCAACCAACTTTAAGGTGCATTACCGCCACCAACTGGACTGGCATGTGGACCACCCTTCTTTGCGCTTCATCACTTCTTCTTTTTAGATGTACAGCAGACCAAGGTACTTTTGTGGTTATTACCGCCGCCTACTGGGATATTGTGCAGCTACACGTTGGCCGATTTGGAACCGGGTGTCCAGAAAACACATGCAATGTTCATCCTGTACTGATGGGGGCGGTAAGGAGCCAGATGGACTTTAGATCGGCAGCCAGCACTAACAAAGATACAGAGAGGAAGAAAAAGTAGGAAGTTGCGGTTGAGCGTTTTCAGTAAAAATGTGGTTGGTAAATGTATTTACATATACCGGATAACAATATCATATTTTAAGTGGATATTAGCTATCTTCCTTGTTTATGTGTGTATGATATTTGCATTATCCCCTTGAAGATACGGTTTTGTTGATATAATTCATAGCTACGACTAGCTTGGTGGTTGCACATTGTGCTTATCAGTTCCCAGCAGCAAGTAGCCGCTAGATAGCAAGCTTGCTAGCAATGAAGGACACTTTGGCCCTTCTACAGAAATTCAACGCTCATCCAGATTCCCGCTGTTGGTATGTTGCGTGGAACCCCAAGGGCACATTGCTGGCCTCATGTGGTGGTGACCGGGCCATTCGGATATGGGGAAAGGAAGGTAAATATCACAAATCCACTGTGTGAAATGAACCTTATCAGAAGTGTGAAAATAACCTTAGCAGAAGCATGTACCTGCAGAAACCAGAACAAATTACCCCCTTTGATTGTCTGTGTAGGTGACTCTTGGGAATGCAAGACAGTGCTCCAGGATGGACACCAGAGAACTGTCAGAAAGGTGGCATGGTCCCCATGTGGGAACTACCTGGCCTCAGCAAGCTTTGATGCCACAACCTGCATCTGGAAGAAGAAGAATGATGACTTTGAGGTGAGGGGACTGTGCTTCTCGACCACGGACATCATACCAAACGCTTTAAGATGATGATAGTAAGATATGGCCCTTGAGAGCATCACACTGTCTCTGTTTCTTTCAGTGCTTGACTGTGTTGGAAGGACATGAGAATGAGGTCAAATGTGTGGCCTGGGCCCCATCCGGTAACCTGCTGGCCACATGTAGCAGAGACAAGAGCGTCTGGATCTGGGAGGGTTAGTGCTGCATTAACACAGGAATAAAATACATTTGTATCACATTGCTTGTTTCACAAGTTATTACTTGTGTTCCACATAACATTCATCTGTTGTGTATCTGTATGTAGTTTTGAACAGTCTCTCACCATCATGTCTGTTTCTGTCTTTCTCAGTGGATGAGGAGGATGAGTATGAGTGTGTGAGTGTGGTAAACTCTCATACACAGGATGTCAAGCATGTTGTCTGGCACCCAACACAGGAGGTACTGCCTATTTCATATGCTGTTTCACTCCTTGTACTAAATGGCAACATTATATAATCCTTTCACACCCCAACGCTATTGCAAGGCTTCTCTGGACTAATTGTTTCAGTATTCTGTACTCTGCATTGTGTCTTTCCCCACTGAAGCTAAATTATGTTCTCTACGCAGCTCCTGGCCTCATGTAGCTACGACAACAATGTGTGTGTCTATAAAGAAGAGGATGATGACTGGGAGTGCAGGGCAACCCTGGAGGGTCACACAGCCACTGTCTGGGGTTTGACCTTTGACCCAAGTGGCCAGAGACTGGCCTCCTGCAGTGATGACCGTACTGTGAAGATCTGGAAAGAATGTCAGCCTGAAGGTGGGCAGGGTGAGCAAGATGCTCCATAGATGCAGGAATGTGTGGGGAAAAGGAAGGTAAGGATAAACGGCCGATTATTATTATTTATTTTTTACAGAAGGCACAGACGCGGCTTGGAAATGTGTTTGCACCCTTTCAGGGTTTCATGGACGGACAGTGTATGATATTGCATGGTGAGCATCCTCCTCTTTATATAAAAAATATATATTAATAAAATGCAGCCACAGATCCAAGTCAGTACTTATGTTGTTCTCAGGTGTCCGTTGACTGGTGCCCTGGCGACTGCATGTGGTGATGACGGAGTGCGTGTGTTTAAGGAGGATGAGACCGCTGACCCAGACCAGCCTGTTTTCTCCCTGTCTGCCCATGTACCCAAGGCCCACACCCAGGATGTCAACTGTATTGCCTGGCACCCCAAGGAGGCTGGGCTCCTTGTCTCCTGCAGTGACAACGGGGAGATAGCAGTATGGAACTACCAGTCTGAGGTCTGAGAAAATGTACAGTATGCTGGGCCAGTTTGGACTTCCAGATCCAGTGTTTAACAGTACTGAATTTACCTTGTACAATCAAGGGTGCTACCAGCACTGAAATAGTCATGTATTTTGTTTAGATCGTCTTTCTCTTGCAATTTCCTGTTTTAATTAAGTTAGTGGTTATGAGTTTAACTGGAGGTTTCTTGGTCTCATGTAATACTGATAAGACTCCTGCCTGTGCACTTGTTTTGTGCTTCATAAATGAATGTGGTCTTCAAGGGTCCCAAATGTGTATTATTGTCATAATTATGTATTTGAATAACAATACAATTTACACATATTCCAAAGGCATTTTGTAATATAAAAAAAAAGTATACATGGGAAATGTTAACTATTTAATCAAAGTTGAGGGGTTCGGTACATTTGGATGTCTAGGTCTGGTGCCAGCTAAAAGTTTCCAGAAACCTTGTAAGAGGAAGAAAGCACTAAATTGTAAGCTATGATTGAAAGTGCCTTAGCTTTGAACACCATTGCATAAAGAAATTACATAAATTGTTCGTAAGGATGATTGTCCTTAGACTCGGCTCTATGACGTAAATGCACAAAGTAAAATGGCATAGTGGGTCAATTTCCGCAACGAAGAGCATGAGTTTCTCAGCTGTTTTGGTCCTGTGGCTACCCAGGCACAAGCACAGATACTGTGTGTGACTGTGAGAGCAAAGTCTTTGCATCTCACTCATCGCAATATCTGCGGTGCTGCTCGTGGCAACATCATTACGCTTAGTCTACCATTACATTTACAGTCAAGTCAATGTTCATTTTTTCTTGTAAAAAAAGCATTTTACTAAAAAAACCTAGCAGGTCAATCCATGAATCACATTTAATTGCAGTTGTTGAAACGGTTATAGTAGACAAATTGAGACATATCTTTGATATTCAACAACTGTTCACTAAAATAGTAAGCATGCTTTCCCCCCCCCCCCCCCATGTACACATCTCTAATTAGGTACTATATACATCATTATTCTCAACTTATGTAAATTCACATTTAAACCAAATTCAAAAACAATAGTAGACATACAAAAATATTGACCATTACCTCAAATGCATGAGAAGATAAGTCCAAAGACATTCAAGGGGAAAAAACGTGACTTGATTGTTTAGCAACAAAACCGATGCATGCACAAGTATGGGCAAAAAAGATAGGATTGGCTAAGATTGTAAACTATAAACTATATGAGCATTTGTCTTAAATACATAGTTACAGTTGTTGGTTAGCTAGTGAATTTTAGCCATATTAGCATAGACATGACAGTCAAAACACCTCGAAACAAGACATGGTATCAATAACAAGTTAAAACTAGCTGAAACAAGCCACTTATGATTCCCCACATGGTAGCTTCTTGTCATTGTTGCTAGCCATCTGGCCATCCAGAATCCCAACACAGACCTCTGCCCCATTGAAGCGTGCGCATCATTTGTGACGTTCTCAGCTAACCCGTGTATGCCTTATCTAAAGCAAAACCAACAATCCCTACTGATCCCAGTATGGATTGAGAAATGACTCCTTTCCATCTATAAATCCCTGATTAGTCTGAGTCACTGTCTCCATCGCTTTCTGCCTCCTTCACGTCCACACTGAACTTATACTCCTGATCACAGCCCATGTAGGCATCGCTCATGAAGTATAGTGTGTAGTTGTGAACGCCCAGCACTGGTGCAACAAAGTCCAGCTTCACCTGCAGTGGGAGAAAAGGGCACAGAGTGAGGCCAAGCAATGCTGACAGAGGGCATTCACCTTTAAGATTATTTTTGTACTTTGTTTTTACACCTACAAGCCATTTGCAACAATTTTGCACTGTATGTAGGGAACTTTCAAATATATACAGTTGCTGCAGTTATTCATTGGCTCCACAAGATCAGATTGATGTGGTATTTAACTGACCTTGGCCTTCTGCTGCAGGGTCAGCCTCTTGATAGAGATCAGGCTGTTGGACTTGGGGTCTCCAATCACCACCCACCAGCCCTCCTCACGTTTCTGGAACAATAACAGAACAATCAAATGTTAAACATGGCCATTGTTGAGTTTGGGCTTTTTGAACGAATCAGTAGTGGAGTTCTGACACAAGCTGGTGGGGATGATACGTACTTGGGGGAAGAGTGGGGCAATAACGGGCCCAGTCACCTCCTCTTCTCTCTCCAACTGGACCAGAACCAAAACTGGACCTCCACTGTGAACACAAAGATATGATCAGACACCTTCACCTACTCCGTTTCTCTCTCATTCTCAATGTTCTATAGATTCACTGGGCAGTAGTAGTAACTAGTAAAAACATTATCATTATCAAACCCCTAAGCAAAGGGACAGTTTCCTGTGGTACTGATGTCTTTATATTTGGTCAAGCTATTTCCCCACAACGATCCCCTATACCTATAACAGCCCCCATTTAAATCACCTCTTGATGTTCTCCTTCTCTGCCACCTCGTAAGACAGTTCAATGTTGGGGTAGCGGTTACAGAAGCGAGCCACGTCAGCTATCTGGGTGTCTGAGAGCTGCAGCAGCCCACTACGATCCTCGTCCTCCATCTCCATGATGTCAAAGATACTCTCCACACCCTGAGAAATACATTGAGAGATCAGCTTCAAGATACACACCCGAGCAAGATGGCCATCCCTTGTCTGGTAAATGAAAGGGTTACAAATGGATAGAATAACAGGCAGTAGTGGATGTGTTACCTTGTCTGTGCAGCGTTTTATGTGCTCTGAGGTGAAGTAAGGCAGCTGTTTGAGGTAGGAGTCCTTGGACCACATGGCCTGGGTGACCATCTGAGCCAGCTCCATAGCAGCCAGCGCAGGGCTCAGCCAGCCGTTACTGGACAGCACATCTACACAGGCCTGGATCAGACGCACAGCCTGGACAAGACACAACCATACACAGATTTTTAAAACTAGCACAATGAGTTCAACACTAGGTCATACCAGTCTTAAGGGGTCAGCATTCTTCAGTTCGGCTGGCGCCGAGCCGAACCAAACGAGTGTGCTCGCATAGTCCCTTAAAAAAACGAGAACAAAGCGGCAATAGTACTGTTTGTCCATTTTGAGAACCCGTAGCCAGGGTTACCCAACTGGCAGCCTATTTGGCCCCACAAGTTTTCTGAGCAAAAAAATAATATTGTTTTTGGGACATACAGTGCACTCAGAAAGAATTCAGACCTTGACTTTTGACATTTTGTTACATTACAGCCTTATTCTAAAATTGATTAGATTGTATTTTTTCCCCTCATCAATCTACACACAGTACCCCATAATGACAAAGCAATTTGTTTGCTAATTTATACTAAATAAAACAATTTAAATATCACATTTACATAAGTATTCAGACCCTTTACGCAGTACTTTGTTGAAGCACCTTTGGCAGCGATTACAGCCTCAAGTCTTCTTGGGTATGACGCTACAAGCTTGGCACACCTGTATTTGTGGAGTTTCTTCCATTCTTCTCTGCATATCCACTCAAGCTCTGTCAGGTTGGATGGGGAGCGTTGCTGCACTGTTTGAATGTCCACTCCTGCGTTTTCTTGGCTGTGTGCTTAGGGTCGTTGTCCTGTTGGAAGGTGAACCTTCGCCCCAGTCGGAGGTCCTGAGCTCTCTGGAGCAGGTTTTCATCAAGGATCTCTCTGTATTTTGCTCCGTTCACCTTTCCCTCGATCCTGACTAGTCTCTCCGTGTCCCTGTCGCTGAAAAACATCCCCACAGCATGATGCTGCCACTAACATGCTTCACCGTAGGGATAGTGCCAGGTTTCCTCCAGACGTGACACTTGGCATTCAGGCCAAAGAGTTCAATCTTGGTTTCATCAAACCAGAGAATCTTGTTTCTCATGGTCTGAGAGTCCTTTAGGTGCCGTTTGGCAAACTCCAAGCGGGCTGTCATGTGCCTTTTACTGAGGAGTGGCTTCCGCCTGGCCACTCTCCCATAAAGGCCTGATCGGTGGAGTGCTGCAGAGATGGTTGTCCTTCTGGAGGGTTCTCACATCTCCACAGAGGAACTCTGGAGCTCTGTCAGAGTGACCATCGGGTTCTTGGTCACCTCCCTGACCAAGGCCTTCTCCCCCGATTTCTCAGTCTTGGTGGTTCCAAACTTCTTCCATTTAAGAATGACGGAGGTCACTGTGTTCTTGGACCTTCAATGCTGCAGAAATGTTTTGGTACCCTTCCCCACATCTCAAGGATGACCAATGGAAACAGGATGCACCTGAGCTCAATCTTGAGTCTCATGGCAAAAGGTCTGAATACTTATGCAAATTAGGTATTTCTGTTTTTTATTTTTTATATACATTTGCAAACATTTCTAAAAACCTGTTTTCGCTTAGTCATAATGGGGTATTGTGTGTAGATTGATGAGGGGGAAAATTATTTTAATCAATTTTAGAATAAGGCTGTAACGTAACAAAATGTGGGAAAAGGGAAGGGGTCTGAATACACTGTATAAAACACCAGGAAATCAGCTCCAAGTGATTTTAATTTGGGAAATCTATTCCCAAGTATTCCCATGCATAATAGAGAGACACGTGATCATATACAAATGTAAGCAAGGTTTAAAATTGATGTTTTAGTCAAATATTATATATGTTTGGGATTCTTGCGGTCAATTTGCAGTCTACAGATTATTTGTAATAATGTTCTGGCCCCCCAACCATCCGCTTAAGAAAATATATCGGCCCGCGGCTGAATCTAGTTGATGATTCCTGCCATAGCCAGTATACACATCCTCAAAAGTCAGAAAGAGAACTCAAGGTATCTGTAATTCATTTACACGTTTTTGCAGAGATCTTAGTTGCGCAATTTTGCATCTGACTAGGATGTTTGGTGCAGTATTTCTCAAGTATTTTTTTTTGCATGAGGACGAGTTGTCTCTCGTTGAATGACAACAGGCACTTCATTGAAGAATCCCTACTGTTGACCAATCGCCAACGGGGGGTCATAGACTTCGGCTTGCCTCAAGAAAACATTTAGTGTGCCCGAACAGCTAAATTAAGTCCAAAACGTCACAAAATGTTGTCATAATATATGCAGACTACTTTACTGCTCTACAGATTCCATTTACCACAGCTAAGATTCCAACCAAGTATCTATTAATATCTCATTCAGGGAGCTGTTAGCTGGTCCTCCTCACCTTGCTGAGGATCTCCTCTGTGTCTGACTGGAGCTCAGCGCTCAGCTGCATCCTGGACAAGTGAGCCTGCAGCAGCAGGTTGGTCTTCACGTGGGGGTCGTTGAACTTGGGGTTGTTCAGTTTGTGTGGCACCTTTTGGGCCAGCTGAAAATACCACATATATAACTTGATTAATGACAAGTGTTTCCGGATGAGTATTTGTGAGCAATGAATTCACACTTTCCATTTCCTCCAGTTCTACATGGGTATTTGAGTGGGTTATAAATTCATATTATGATTATTGATGTGCATTAGTATGTTTACCTGTCTGAGCAGGTTGTCCTCATGGTGTCTGATGGGGATGTTCTTGTACTCGGCAGCATTGGAGATGATCTCAATCAATCCACGGATCTTGGTCTTGGCATTCAGGGACATGCTGAACAACTCTGATACAAACACAAATAAAATATGTCAGTAACGCCACAATTGTTGTACCTAGCAACACGTTATAAACTCAATGATGGATGTATTCTATTTCAACAGTTGTTTAGTCTATGCGGTGGTTCACAGTATAGGTGATGTGACTGATACAGCCATATTTAGTGATAGTTGGTTGTGGTAGTTCTCACCAATGGTGGTGTAGTTGATATAGTAGTAGGCAGCGATCATGCCCAAGTTAAGCGGTGCCACGTCCATCTCATCCTCGATGCTGATGCACTTGGACTGCTCCAGATCATGCAGGGTGTTCTCCACAAGCTCTGACAGGTGGTCTGATAGGTGACGGTGAGACATGCCTGCAGGGGAGGGATGGAGAGCAGCAGTTTAACATTAGACTACACATATACTGGTAACTGCCTAAATAAAGCAAACACTCAAGTAAATGAGGGATACAAAGTATATTGAAAGCAGGTGGTTCCTGAGTTAATTAAGCAATTAACATCCCATCATGCTTAGAGCCATGTATACAAATGCTGGGCAGGATATTATTTTGGCTGCCATGGCTATGCCCCCATAGGATGACAATGCCCCGATCCACAGGGCACAAGTGGTCAAAATTGTTTGATGAGCATGAAAACAATATGCCATGGCCGTTTCAGTCACCAGATCTCAACCCAACTGAACACTTATGGTAGATTCTGGAGCAGTGCCTGAGAAAGCGTTTTCCACCACCATTAACAAAACACCAAGTGATGGAATTTCTCGTGAAAGAATGGTGTTGCATCCCTCCAATAGATTTCCAGACATTTGTAGAATCTATGCCAAGGTGCATTGAACTGTTCTGGCTCGTGGTTGCCCAACGCTCTATTAAGACACTTTATTGGTGTTTCCTTTATTTTGGCAGTTTCCTGTATGTCTGGAAAATAAGTCAACTTCAACTTAAAAGCATATCGTCCAACATCTTTATAGCCCATCTGTAAGAGTGTCAACAGTAGAGAGCAGTCAGATTGCTGTAAGTGTCTGTCTCACCCTGCAGGTTGTAGTAGTTGGGGTTCTGGGTCATGCGACGGTACAGGAAGGTCCAGGTCAGGTAGTCCACCGCGTCCTGTTTGTTCTCCACCGTCTTGGTGACGATCTCAGCGTTGAAGTGGTCGTGCATGCAGTGGTCCAGGTGAGATTCCACCGGCAGGGGCTCATACAGGAACTTCTTGAAGAAATCCTACATTTGAGAAAAAGAGAGTAGGTTATAAATGACAGAATGATGGAGTGTGAGAGACAGAGAGGGAGTGAAAATGGAGAGGGAGAGTAAAAGAGGATATTGCCAATGTACCTTTTTGGAACCCTGACACATGATGACACAGCGTCCCTCATCGTCCTGCAGTGGCCGGTTGGCTTTGCCCACCATCTGGAGGACATCGTAGATAGGGTAGTCCACATAGCTGGGGACAGAGAGGACATGGTCACTAACACACTCAACCTGAGGCAGGAGGAGGTTCTGACTGGTAACGATTTGGAAATGTAGTCATCACCAAAACCAGTGTCGTAGCTACTTACGCATGGATTTTGCCATTGTAGTACTGGGTGTCCATGACAACAACCAGGTGAGCAGAGATGTTGGTGCCCCAGCAGAGGGAGCGTGAAGCCACCACAACCTGGACTGCACCTGCAGACAGAGGACCAGCCACAGCATGTCATTTAACAACCACACCCCATAATTCCTCTAACTAGGCATCAGCAGGTCTAATGGCGTGGCCAGTTGTACCTGAGTTGAAGAGCTGCTCCACGATCCTGCGCTCTGTGGTGGACAGGCCCTCGTGCAGGTAGCCCACCCCATTGGCCAGCGTCTCCTTCAGGGTGCCGTCCGTCACCTTCTCCAGGAAGGGAGCCAGGTCCTTCTCAGTGCAGTGCAGGAACCTACAGGGAGATAGGGACATCTGTTACTGCTCTGAGACCTCAGGTTACAACACCTATCATTATTGGATACCTATTAAGAGTTTTAACCCCTTGCACCACTCAGAGATTAAAGGGTGAGGTTATGGGTCTGACCTCTGAGGGACCACGTCAGCAGCACAGAAGGTGAGGATGTCGATGGCGGTGAGGCGGGTCTGTCGGCGGGACGGGACGAACACCACGGCCGGTTTGGAGGGGGAGTGCTTCATGATGGCGTGGTACACTGGCTTGGCCATCGAAAGCAGGCGAGTCTGGGTGTGACTCACATTGAAGCCCTGAAGAGAGACAGCCATTACAATGAGGTTCAATTGAGAAGATGATATTACCCAGCCAAACAATAACATATTTTATGGACAAATCCTTACTGGTGTTATATCTGATAAGGGCAGGTTGATGATGATGTAACATGTTGAGAGGACATTAAAATCATGGTTCAGACCTGGATGTGCAGCTCCAGAGGGACAGGCCTGACGTTCGGGTGGAAGTTGAAGGTTGCTGTGGTGCTGCAGCCCAGCCAGTGGGCCACGTCTTTGGCGTTGGATAGGGAGGAGCTGAGGGCCACGATGCGGATGGGACGCTCAATCTGAGATGAGATGTACCTCATCCTGGAGCAGATCACCTCCAACACGGGCTGCAAGCAAGACAATGAGTGTGAATATCAATGTATTTTACTTCACGTCAAACAAGTATTGTATAGTTGCTATCTAATCAAAGCACTAGGCAGGTGTATATATAGGTTTTATCAGTTTGGATTCATGGCCTTACTCCATTCTCTCCTCCAATGAGGTGAGTCTCGTCCACGATGAAGAGACTGACGTTTTGGACGTTCTTCCTCTGCTTCCAGCGGCGCGACAGGATGTCCCATTTGTCCGGGGTGCTCACAATGATGTCACCCTTCCCCAGCAGCTTCAGGTCAGTGCTAGTCTCTCCCGTCAGCAACACCACCTTCTTATTCAGAGCATCCTGGAACTTCTGGTGCCAGTCAACAAACACCTAGACACACAAAGGAAGATGGTCAACGGAGGTGTAAGGAATGGGTAACAGTGTGAACAATTAGAAGTCAGATGAAAACCACATTATGTTGAAAGGGGCAATCTGCAGTTGCTACATCCAAATGAATGATATGTACCCATTGATTCTTGAACTAAGCTCATAACTTATATTCGTCATCTGTCATACCCCACCAGAACCCCAAATATAAGCTTGTTTTATTCCAATGTTTGTAAACAAAGTATGTATAGCCTCAAAACATGATTAAAACTATAATTGTGATATTTGAGGGTGGGTACTTTTCTTCAGCAACTTTTAAAGTTGAAAACACTCCATATTGATAACTGTACCTGTTCAGCCAGGGCCTCCATGGGTGTGATGTAGACACAGCGTCCCTCTGCGTTGTGCAGCAGCATCCTCAGGATGGCAAACTCAGCACAGATGGTCTTCCCACTGCCGGTGGGGGCTCCCACAAACACGTTGTCGTCACTATTGTACACAGCGTTGAACACTAGAGGAAGACAGACAATACCACAGTTTACTCACAATTTAAGCACCAAAGATATAGAGGCATGTACCTGATCGAAGTCATTGAATGGGCCACATAGATCTTAGAGGTCAGATGGGTGAAGTTAGAAACTGTTACCCTACATGGTGACACTTAAAGAGAGTCTCAGAGTGTGTCTTACCCTGCGTCTGGATGGGGTTGAAGAAGGGGAACTTGTTCTGGTAGAGGGTCTCGAAGGCAGCATTACGGAGGGCGGTCACAGGCAGGGGCTGCAGGTCCAGCAGCTCAGTGGGAGGGGGGTACTTCTCTGGCAGGATCAGGTGGCGGAAAGACACCGGCAGCTGGGTCTCACAGGCTGAGAGGAGGAGAGAGAGATACATTTTCAATGAACATCCTCTAAACTCTATCTTTTCTTATACAGTTTAATTAACTACATTTGACATATTTAGCAGATGCCCTTATCCAGAGCGACTTACAGGAGAAAACAGGTTTAAGTGCCTTGCTCAAGGGCACGCCGGCATTTTTTTTTTTTGCCTAGTCGGCTCCGGGACTCGAACCAGCGACCCTTCGGTTACTGGCCCAACGCTCTTAACTATAAAAAAAAAAAAAAAAAAACTCATTTACTAATAATAGCTAGCCAGAGGATTGTCACTCACACAGCCAGTGGTCCGAGGCCACACGGATGAAGTACTGTGGGGGCAGAGGCTCGAACACGGGCACAAAGAAGGTGACCAGGTGCTCGTCCTGGGCGTACTTGGCCTTGAGCAGGAAGTACTCGTGGTGTAGGATGACCTCACTGTCCACATCCTCCACCAGTATCCAGAAGGCCTCTGACGAGCCATGCACCTGTAATGGCCACAGTGTGTTACACAGTAAGAAAGACCAAATGTAATCTGAATCCTGTTAAACTACTATAGCTTGAGGGTACTAAAACAGATCCACATATAGAAACCACTAACCTTGTCATCCCACTGGAAGTCTGGTGTGATGGTGAGTTCCACCTTCAGTGTGGAACGGGTGATGGGCTGCAGGTGGACGGCCAGGTCCAGTTTGGGGAACTGGTGCACGTACTTGTGGATGGTCTTCCCCATCTTGGGCATGCGGATCAACTCACCTGAGGGACAGAAGGACTTTAATGACAACATCAACAACCGGGAATGAATCAATGAGAATGTAGTGTTAGTGGGTGCAAGTCTGAGGTGGGGCATTTGGAGTGGACTGCAGAGCAGACTCACCAATCTCATTGTGGTTGAGGTCATAGAGGCGCTCGAAGGGGAAGTTCTTCTTCTCAATCTTCTTGATGACTTCCTCTGGGAGTTTCCTGAACTGACGCAGAGGAGACATGGACTGCCACCTGTGTAGGAGGGACACATTCACACAGGGAAAAACATCACATTTCATTCTAGCCTCGTCATGTAATTCACTAGGACTGTAGACTAAGGTGTTAATAAGTGAAAACTAGGAATAAACAGCAACGGTTAACTTACATCCTCTTGTCAATCATCTTGCAGAGGTTCATGGTCTTGTCTGTGAGCTGTGCCCATCCCCTGCTCAGGACGATCTCAAAGATTGCCCGCATCAGTCTTCCAGCACTCTGAGGAAGGACACAATTGAAGCTAGAATCAGAAGTTGAAACAATAAAGCGTTCACCCCGCCTGTTTTGGTCAAAAGGTGAGTGATGGGCCTGGAGAAATGCAACCATACTCAAATTCATAGATGGAGCTATGGATGGAAGGACTGACCATCCATGATATCAAAATGATAGTTAACCATGTTGAGGATATACAGTGTTTGTTTACATTTATGCTGTTTACAATCATTGGAGTAAAACAAGCTTATATTTGGGGTTCTGATGGGGTACAACAGTTGAACTAAGCTCATGAGGTATTGATAAGTTATATTCTTCAAGAATCAATGGGTATATATAATTATACCAAAATTGGATGTTGCAACTAAGGATTCTACCTTTAATAGTCAGAGGCTGGTAACATACTTACATCAAATCAAATAAACAGACTTGGGCTTACCTGTGTCACATAGACCATGTCAGCCATCAGAGCAAAGCCCTCCAGTTTGAGCTGAGAGATGTAAGCCTGGAGCAGCACGTTGATCTTTAATAAGAACACACCTCAGAACTGGTTCATAGTAATACATACTGCAGTGGTGTACCATATCATTGATCAGTGTTAGACCTAGGCTCAAATATATATCTGTATTTGATCATTTAATATCATTTCTGTGTATTTTCTAATAATGTGGCCCAAATCAACTACTTCTATTGGATTTCCTATAAATAGCCTACTATTTGAAAGTATCTTCTTATTTCAACTACCTAGGTTAAATGCATGGGAGTGTATTTGAGTCAGTGTATTTGTGTATTTCCAAATACATTCCAATATTTAAGTGCTTGTCTTTTCAACAAACAAAAAACATCTAAATACTTACTTCCAAATGTCTTTGAAAGTAATTGAAATACCCTAAATAGTATTTGAACCCAGGTCTGATCATTGACACATGTAGCATACCTTGGCACTGGGCTCCTCAATGCTCTCCTTCACTGGAATGGGAACTCTCTCCAGCAGCTTCTGCAGCTCCAGCTTCTCTTCCTGAAATAAATCCCCACGTGAGCATTTATGTATCTGTAGCCTTTTACTAGTAACTAGTTTTGTGTAGATCCGACCAAAAGCTCCCCCCCAAAAATGTGTGGCCTTTAGTAGTTGATATAGTATCCCAAAGTGGTGCATACCTCTCTGACAGTGATGTTCCTGAACTCTGAGGAGAGGGAGAAGACGCGGAACAGCTCGATCTCACTAAGGGTGGGCTTCAGCAGCTGGTTGTAGGTCTGGATGGAGTCGTGGGTTATATAGAAGTGACTGGCGATGCGACCCAGGTCAGTAACCTTCAGGGAGGGATGCGAAAATGTTGCCCAAAATATAATCCATCATGCACATCAATTTGACTCATTCATATCAATAACATAATCTTTGTTTTCACCATCTTAGAATCTTGAAGAGAGTTCTCAATTGGTCAGCATCATTGCATTGATCAACCTGGACAAACAGAGAATGTGTAGAGCGGTGTGTACCTGGAAGGCGCCGGTCCTCTTGTCGTACTTTACCAGGCTGTTCTTGTCCAGCACGTTGGCTGCAGTGTGGATCAGGTCCATCCTGCGGCGCTCCAGCAGGGGGTCAGAGCTGCGGTCGTCATGGGAGACCCCGTACAGGGTGGGGTTACGGAGCATACGCACGTACAGGTAGGTGTAACCCAGCCAGTTCACTGCGTCCTGATGAGGAGACAACGAGAGAGGAGTGAGCACTAATGATTCTAGCTGACCAGTTTCTGTACAGGTAAAGTGCAGTCTCAACAGCACACCACAGCATGTCTGTATGGTTATTAGTGGTGAGTTGTGTGTGTGTGTGGGGGGGTGTAACTCCAGTTATACGCTCACCTTAGCATTCTGCACATTGCCCAGTACTATCTCAGCGTTGAGCATGTCCGCCAGCTTGGACACCATCTGGCTCTCGATGGGCAGCTGTTGGTTGAGCAGAGACAGGTAGTACTGCAGCTCCCCGTGGGATGTGATCAGGATGCCCTCTCCCTTGGTGTCGTACTGAGGACGCCCGGCTCGACCAAGCATCTGAACACAGCGAGGTGTCATTCAAACTCACAAACACGGCCAGACTTTGAGGATTATTTAGCTAAGAAATTACACTGTGCTACAATGAAGTCTAGCCCTGTGTATGTATCTCAGTAGTCTAATCCAGCCAGTGCAGACTAACCTGTAGAATGTCCAGGGCTCCCAGCTCTGTCCATCGGCCTTTCTCTGGGCTGTACACCTGGGTGCCTTTGATGATGACAGTATGTGCAGGCAGATTCACTCCCCAGGCCAATGTGGCTGTGGACACCAGCACCTGAAACAGACGGACAGAGCCCTTTCAGTGAAACAGGTCCGGTGACATTGTAACAATAACTGACTGTATTAGAGCAAAGAAAATACCTGGATATGGCGATCAGCAAAGAGATCTTCTACCAAGGTACGGTCCACTCTGGTCATACCAGCATGATGGATGGCAAAACCGTAGGGTAGCAAGTCCTTCAGCTCAAGGTTCTGGGGGATGAAAAAATGGATGTAATGTTTAGGGAAATGTTTTTTTAAATAATCAGATTTTGGTAAGATTTGGTTTTCAATGATATCCATAAAATTCTGGACATTTCCAGAGTTTAAATAGACTGACAGCTAAAATCAGTCTCCAGGTCAGAATCATTAGAGCTCACCTTGCACTGCTCTGCTTCAGTCCTGAGGACCTCGGTGGAGGCCGAGCCCTCCCTCAGGAACAGCCCCAGAGTGTCCTTCTCCAGACACATGTCCCTGATGGCCCGGGCCGTCTTCCCCGTCTCCTTCCTGGAGTGGACAAACACCAGCACCTGAGAAACACGGACACAAGTTAGCACAGGGATACTAGATTGTGTGGTACTGTCTGTTGCTCTTCCTCTGATAAACAGACATTGGGATTTTCTAGAGCTCATGTTTTGTGTTGGTCGCAATGCGGAGTCAGATGATGGTTAAAGAACACTAACTCAATTGGCCCAGCGTCGTCCGGGTTAGGGAGGCTTTCGGGAGGCTTTACTTGGCACATTGCGCTCTAACGACTCGTGGTTGGCCGGGTGCCTGCAGGCTGACCTAGGTCGTCAATTGAACTGTGTTTCCTCCAACATGGTGCGGCTGGCTTCCGGGTTAAGCGGGCGGGTGTTAAGAAGCGTGGTTTGGCGGGTCATGTTTCGGAGGACGCATGACTCGACCTTCGCCTCCCGAGCCCGTTGGGGAGTTGCAGCAATGAGACAAGATCGAAATTGGGGAGAAACAGGAGGTAAAATACAAAAAAATTAATAATAATAGCACTAGGCTGAGCTGGCCTCACCTGGTTCTTCCCAGCATGCTCCATGATCTTCTCATAGACGATCTCATTCATGATCTGGAAGCGCTTGATGGCCTTCTTCTCAGTGATGCCCACGTATGTCTGCTCCAGAGGCACTGGGCGGAAACTACAGGACAGAAAATACCATTATACTTCTGCTTACAATGCAACCACTCACAAGTCAAAACCTGTTAACCTGAAGTAGGATGATAAGTAAGAGTGTGGAGAGATTGTCCCTCCTTCCTGAGCCCTGGCTGACCTGTTGTCGAAGTAGAAGAGTCCCTTGGCGGGGTCCACGCGCAGGCAGGTGGCCACGTCCTCGTAGTTGGGCAGGGTGGCACTGAGACCCAGCAGACGCACGTCCTCCTGGGTCAGCTCCACGTTGCGGATGGTCCTGGCCACCAGAGACTCCAGGACTGGCCCACGGTCGTCATGGAGCAGATGGATCTCATCCTGACCATAAGACACACTCAGTTACACACAGTACTTACACCCAAGGAGTTTAGAACTACAGTTTTAAAAATAATGTTAAAGAATGTAAATGCTTGGGAAAGTAATGGGATGTTTGACTAAACACTCAAAGGATCTTGCATTAAGTCCACAAGAGGACTGTTTGAGAGTGTCTGTACTTACAATGATGATGAGGCGCACTAGCTGGGTGTAGGTGCGCTCGCCTCCTTTGCGCGTGATGATGTCCCATTTCTCTGGGGTGCAGACGATGACCTGGGTGGCGTTGATCTCCTCTTTACACAGCTGGTGGTCTCCTGTCAGCTCAGACACTGTGATGCCGTAACTGGCCAGACGCTGGGAGGGAGACAAGCAAAACGGATCAAACAACAGGACATTATGCCGTATTATGATTTATTATACAAACACAGCTTAATTGGCAATTCAAACCCTTGACAGCATCTAACACTGAGTTCTGACCCCATAGAAAGGACAACAAGTCTCACCTTACTAAAGCTCCCCACCATCTCCTGTACCAGCGAGCGCATAGGAGCAACGTAAATTATCTTGAAATCGTCCAAGTTGATGGTTCCGTCCAGGTTGATGTGCTTGCCGATCTCCCTCAGCATTGCCATCAGGGCCACGTTGGTCTTGCCTGCCCCCTGGAGGCACCCAGGGAAAAAGACAGAGGGAGACCATACATAGGGATAAATTAGAAAACAAAACAAAGAAAGTTCGACAGTGGCACTTTCGAACATATGCAACATGACAGCATGCTGAGCAGAGGTCTTGGGAGAGAAGTATTATAGTTGACCGTGGTTTATTTACTAACCGTAGGAGCGCACACCAGCAGGTTCTCGTCGGTCTCCATAGCAGTCTTGAACAGTTTGCTCTGGATGCGGTTCAGGGTTTTGAACCCTTCGAAACCTGCCTGGGCATACTTGGGAAGCTTCTCAATGGTCACCAGCACCTAATAACACAGATAATCAATTACGAGGCTTGGCTGACAGTTCTTGAAAACGAGACCATTCACTTGCTAAAAGCCTCAGTACTGACTACAGTAAAAAAAACACATACACAGGCGCACACACAAACCTCATCGTCAGCGAAGGGCTTGGGCTTGAGGGCAGGAACGTGCACCTCCTCGTAGCCTTTCCGCTGCTTGCGGAAGGAGCCGTCTGGTAGTTGGCACCTCTTGTTGGCCATGAAGTGGCTTCCCTGGGTGAAGGCCAGGTCCTCCAGGTCCAGCAGTTGTTTAGGGGTCATGGTCTGAGAGGGGGTAAATGATTCAAGTTAGTATTTAGCATCAATGTATTCATATTAAATGCGTGAGCGGCATTGCAACGTGTGTCATGTTTGCAATGTATGCGCAAATCGCCTGTGGACTACACAGTGGGTTGACGGGCTATATTCATGAGTGCATTATTCATGGTTCTCCTCCTCACCTCTCCATGGTCGATGTCCATAGACTCCAAGTCATTGTCCACGCGAGACTTCCTCACTCTCTCCCTGCGAGATCGCTCCTCCTAAAGACATGAACACCAGCCATTGTTTGAGACCAAGGGAACCAACATTAAATGTTTAGCTGATCATTTGTTTATGTATTTCAGTCTGTTCCATATAGTTTATATTGCACAGTATAGAAACAATGATTTATCCAGTGATTAATGCAACAATGAAGATGGCGTCTTACCCTAATAATATCCTCCTTCTCAGTCTCCTGCAGCTGGTAAAGAACTTTGGACAAGTCTGGATCTGCCTCCATCTTACCTATGATCTTCTCCTTCTCTGCTTCGCTCTGAGCACTTGCCAACATGGTACAGTACTGGACTGTGAAGGAGGAGAGAAATTGATTATGAGTGACGTTTCAAATTTGGTAATGCAAGCTGTGATTGTCTCCGTTGTGAAAATGACAGCTACTCACTCATCCGGCGATGCTGCCGAAGGATTTTGATGAAATCGAAAGTGTTGAATCCCAACAGTAAGACCAGCTGGTTCTCACATTCTCTGTCATCACTGGCCGTCTGTGGAACACAGAGACAGTCAGAGACCAAGGTATCCACACAGACACAGGCAGACACACTGAAACAAATAAACACACACCTTTAGGATCTCCAGAACCTCATCTGCTTTCTTCTGAGAGATTATGGCATCGTCATAGAAACGGCTGAGCTGACGCTGGAGCCAGAAGGCATCGATGTCACGAGGGTGCAGCTCCTTCTTTTTGGCAGTCATCACATCACCTGTCACACCAAGCTACAGGGGAACATAGAGATACATGTTTATTAGTGCAACGGTTTAAAAATACATAGTAGTTTAGTATGAACACAGGTGTGTGTTGTCATGTGAACGAGGGGTCTTACGTTGGCCGTCAGGGTGCAGCCCAAGTCTGAGACCAAGGGAACCAACATTAAATGTTTAGCTGATCATTTGTTTATGTATTTCAGTCTGTTCCATATAGTTTATATTGCACAGTATAGAAACAATGATTTATCCAGTGATTAATGCAACAATGAAGATGGCGTCTTACCCTAATAATATCCTCCTTCTCAGTCTCCTGCAGCTGGTAAAGAACTTTGGACAAGTCTGGATCTGCCTCCATCTTACCTATGATCTTCTCCTTCTCTGCTTCGCTCTGAGCACTTGCCAACATGGTACAGTACTGGACTGTGAAGGAGGAGAGAAATTGATTATGAGTGACGTTTCAAATTTGGTAATGCAAGCTGTGATTGTCTCCGTTGTGAAAATGACAGCTACTCACTCATCCGGCGATGCTGCCGAAGGATTTTGATGAAATCGAAAGTGTTGAATCCCAACAGTAAGACCAGCTGGTTCTCACATTCTCTGTCATCACTGGCCGTCTGTGGAACACAGAGACAGTCAGAGACCAAGGTATCCACACAGACACAGGCAGACACACTGAAACAAATAAACACACACCTTTAGGATCTCCAGAACCTCATCTGCTTTCTTCTGAGAGATTATGGCATCGTCATAGAAACGGCTGAGCTGACGCTGGAGCCAGAAGGCATCGATGTCACGAGGGTGCAGCTCCTTCTTTTTGGCAGTCATCACATCACCTGTCACACCAAGCTACAGGGGAACATAGAGATACATGTTTATTAGTGCAACGGTTTAAAAATACATAGTAGTTTAGTATGAACACAGGTGTGTGTTGTCATGTGAACGAGGGGTCTTACGTTGGCCGTCAGGGTGCAGCCCAAGTCTGCTTCCTCTCCTTCACTCTCTTCATCTGAGCCATCATCTCGCACCTCCCCAAACTGGTCCTCATCACCCTCTTCCTCATCAGATTCAAACTGGACATTCACCCCGTATGTTTCATCAATGTTGTCATCTGTACGGCGAAAAATGTATTCGTTTGAGTGCATAATACTAGCCTAGAAATGAAGGCATGGTCGAGTTGAGTGAACATGATGTAAACATTCCTTTAACATTGTGTTTGTTTCCTTACCCATGTTCTGGAGCTCTTTGTCACCCCCGTAGTCACTGATCTTCTTGCCCAGGTTGACCAGCACGTGGTAGCGTGTGTCATCTGCAGGCCCTAGTAACTGCTCCACTTCACGCCGTCTCTCCTTGTCCCTCATCTTGTCATTCTTCAGCACAGCCAGCACCTCGTCAGCTGCTCCACACAGGATATCTCTCGGCTGCAGAGACAGATACACATCACAGGCATATTCAAGTCATCATTGATTTGAATATAACGTTGTTAATTCCACCATTATATATTGTCTGCATAGTGTTCTTCAAACTTTTCAAATCAATGACTCTTGAGACAGACGCATAATTGCACAAGTGCCTTAATGATTGTTTATCTGACCTGATCTCCCAGGGCAGCCTGGATGAAGCTGAGAAGGACCTCATATGTCTCCCTGGTCTCCTTGGTCTTAGGCTTGTACACGATGCCCACCATCTCATCAATGCCCTCTGACAGGAGGGTGAAGCCCTTCATCTTGTTCATGTCGTGCCTGTCCTCATCTCTCTTCCTCCTCCTGCACAGTTTAAAAGACAAAGGTGGAGGGAAGAGTCATACATGGGTTAGTTAGTCAAGAAGTGATTCAGACATGCACCAGGAAATAGACATGAAGAGGCACTTGTAGTTACTTTGCCCGTCTCTCCTCCAGCATTGAAGGTTTGGTCCTCTGGGACTTGTCACCCATCTTGGTTCCCCCCAGCTTCCCCACCAGGGACAGCACCTCTCCTGTGGGCTCATCACGCCTTGTGCGGTCAATGAGCGAACGGTCCGCTTGTAAGACCAAGTTGGAGTTCTATTATTGGACAAGAGACAAATGTTAAAAGGAGGAACTGTAATGCAATGTAAACTTGCCTACACCAAGTTATTCTTATGCTGGCTGATTATACAGAGTTACTGAGGCCCAAAAACTACTTATTTTGAGGAATTCGTGTTTCCCAACATTGGACAATCAACTGTCTAGCTAGCAGACTAGTTAGTTAACTTATCTCGCTAACTAGCTAGTAACTGGTCGTGCAAACGCGGCTGGTTAGTAACCCGTAACTTTTGTCAGTTTTGGTAGTTAACGTTACACGGTTGTGTCCAGCTACGCTAACTAACGTTAGACACTGCGAACTAGCTACCTAGGCGCAACAAAACAGTGAACATATTTCCAAGAAGCTAACGTTGGCTAACTTAGTTCAATTTCATACTCACCGCTTTGTACTCATACTGCAAGCTACGTGCAGTAACATCTGCCATTGTTGAATTAACGTTACCGCACTTTTGTTGTTCAACAATGGAACAATAAATACAGGTAACGTTAAGCAGAAATCCTCTGTATCAATACACACTTAGCAATACGTGATGTACTTTTTGTAAATAAAAGCGTTGGTCATCCGTTCCGGCAAACACTCTCCAACAACAAGCACCGAATCAGTCACTACTTCCGCTTCCGTCCGTGTTATAGGTGAAATTCGAGGTTCGTTTTTTTTTTTTTACAGTGCTCTCTATTGACTCGATGAAGCATCACCGCTCTGGCCAACTTCATTATTGCAAAGATATAGTTTTCTAGAATCTAAACTCTGTTAAGTGGATGTAGCCTCCCAATATGTCAGTGCTGCATCTGCTAAGAAATGCTTTATTTTATTGCACATGCGGTATTGCACTCGCCCCACGAACACACTCAGCACAGTGTCCATGGTCCAAACCCCAGACTGTTCCTCCTCAACCAGCACTGACTGTATTATTCGCAGGCTGGGCTTTGGTGGCAATTATATAATGACAAGAGGTCAAATAGGTTTGTGAATACTGCCCAACAAAGGCATAGCTAATAATTAGGCTGCTGAGCCATTCTTTAAAAAATGTGTTATGAAATTGCCTGCAGTTGCTCAATTCGCTTTGTGTTTGTACATACTGCAATATAATAATATAGTTGTAGTGTATAGCCTAATCTCTATCGCATAGCCTATTTCATAGCCAATGAAATGCTGGATTGTATTTTAAATCTATATGTAGGCTAGTGTGTGTATCATCTCCTGGATCTTTTCCATCCCTAAATACTTCCATACCTGTGCGGCAGATCACCTCAGTCCCACCCAGTGTCAAATTATCTGGACACACACACACACTAGCCTACATATACATTTTAAATACTGTCCAGTGGTATCCACAATTTCATTATTATCCTATAGATTTTTGTCACCCAAGTGCCGCACATAGCATAAATGTTTCTATCATTGTAATATAGAGTGAATGGCAACCTTGATTAAGTGAATGAAAGACTAGAATAATCTAGATTTTATGAGGATTTCAATGTCTCTGTATTGTATGTGCCTCCGCAAACCATGACAGAGGGTATTGATCTATTATTTGACTATTCAAAATGAATTGACGTTTTTACTGCATTGTATTTTCTTGCTGGTAAATGTGTACTGACATTATAACAACAAATGGGTTGGTAATGTCATTTTATTTTGAATCAAAAATTGAATTAGAAACGCCTTTGGAGGTACACCTCCTAGTTCTGCTGTAAACTAGACATTTTACAATTTTTCAAACAATTCATTACATGATAGATAGATGATCAACATTACATAGTAATCAACTTCAATGATGCTGGATACTGTGTATTAAACACAAGTGTATAAAGAAACAAAATAACAGAGTCGGGACTTGGTATGTACAGATAACATAAACATGCTGAAACATATTTTTCAACACAATTTGTAACTATGGTCAGTGAGGCAACAACAGTATCCCCGGCTGCAGCGTAGTAGACCCTCGTCAGGGGTGAAGGCAAGGTCATGCCAGGTCCATTCGAACCTCACAGGATAACATAGGTGAAGAGAGCCATGATGGCAGCACTGATGAGCCCAGAGATGGGGACGGTTACAAACCAGGCGATGAAGATGTTCCTGAACAGATGCCAGTCAACAGCCTTCCTGGAGCGCAGCCATCCAACAGCAACCACAGAGCCCACCTGAGAATGCATAACAGAAACTTTACTCAACACTATGCACAGGTTCACACTGGTTTCTACCGTTTCACACTGGTCAATGAATGAATTAATGAATTGTTACTTATTAACGTGTCATGCGACTCCTCCGGTATGGTGTTATAAAACACACATTTTCCAAAATATTTTATAACAGTGTTATAGCACTATAGACAGTTTCTCGTTAGGCTAAGAAATTGGACAGACTCATCTATACATTTAAACTTGAATTACCTTGCAGTGAGTTGTGCTGACAGGGAGACCAATATTGGAGGCCACTACCACTGTGAGTGCTGAGGACAGTTCAATGCTAAATCCACTGGAGGAAGCAAATAAGATTCGCAAGAGGTTATACAGTATACTGTGTAATAAGAAACAAGAGTACAGTGAATGATATTCATACTGAATAAACATTGGGAGTTTGAACAATGTGATATATTGTTGTATTGGCCCAAAGACTTCTGTAAAACTCAGATATTTACTTTCAGTGCATGGTATACCTGGAGGGGGTGATAGTTTCAGTGCATGGCATACCTGGAGGGGGTGATTGGGGTGAGGTCCTTGCCCATGGTCTGGATCACTCTGCGTCCCCACACCCAGAGCCCAACAGTGATGCCCACTCCTCCATACAACAGCAGCCAGATGGGTGTGGGGGCATCGGACACCACAGAGCCACTCTCAAACACGAGCCACAGGGCCACCAGAGGACCAATCGCATTACTGTGAGAGGATAACAGCCTATAATCAGCCTATGATAATACACAGACAGTAATTCTTTCTCTATATTCTCTATCCTAGCATACCTGACATCATTGCCTCCATGGGCGAAAGAGCCGAAACAAGCAGTGAGAATCTGGAGGAACCGGAAGAGATGTGTGACCTCTGGCCGGTCCACCTCCAGCTCATCCTCCTCTAGAAGTATATCCTTGCCAGCCTCCAGTGTCAGCCCCACAGCCCCTGCCTCCTCCTTAGCCACTGTGCCACCATCTGCTACAGCTGAGCAGTAGCTGTTGTAGCTGTCATGCCGCAATCTCTTCCGCTGATCTGCTAGATCTCCCTCCTTGTATCTGGGGTCCCCATGGATGCCATAGATGGCCAGGGTGTAGGACGTGTAGCTGTTGTTCCGCCGTATGGGCCGTCCATCATCGTCACCAATGCAGTCACCCACCTTGGCTAGGTGAAGCTTGTGCAGCAGGTCTTTGTAGAGCCCTGAGTCCTTGTGTACAGTGTGAGCCTGACCACTGTGTGGGTCCGTGATGGTCATGGGGCCCATGCCATTAATACCTAAGAAGGATAACCAGCAATAATACATTCAGTTCAAACAATAATGATGAGTGTACAAATACTATAATACTTATTATAGTAATGTAATAATATTATAATACTTTATCTATATAAAATGTATACCTTTACAAATAATGTCTTGTGCCCTAATTAAAATGGTCACTAGTCACTTGCAACAAAGTAAGGGGATCTCACCATTGCTAGCTTCTAAGTCTTTGGTGTCCATGTTGCTGTCCAGATCAGCCTCCTCTGAGCCTCCAATCTTAAAGGCCGCCCTTTTCGCATAGGCTGGCGGTGTCTGGGGAACAGAGTCAAAAGGATGAATTGTGGAGGGATGCTCCTGTGGGGCAGGTTTGGAAGGGGTCTTCTCCATCAGTGGAGTCATACAGGGGCTGGAGGCCACTTTACCTGATTGACAAACAGGCAGAAAGGGAGCAATCAGGATTATCTTCATATCAGTCAATTCCCTTTAAATCAACACAAGTTTGAAGTCCAGTATTTATTTTGTGCAAATGAATGAAAAAGGACAGCAATGCCACTTACGCCTGATCTTCTTCTTGAGCCGTGGACAGACGAAGAACCACACGACCATGGCTGTGATGAGGGCGCAGCCTAGCGAGATGAGCAGTGTTAACCACCATGGCATTTTGTCGAACCCCAGCACTATGTACAGGACAAGGGAATGAGGAACAGAATGCTCAGAGGATGCTTTCACTAAAGCATGTACCCTCCACATAATCCAAGGTCATCATACACAGCACCTGCCATGGGAATGTCAACATTTCCCACTGTATTATATCACAGTCATAGCAACAAAATTCTGTCCAAAACATCGAACATGTCTCAGTTTACATTCGTAGTTGGGTTAGATGCATTTTCTAAAATTAGAAATTGTACATACTTCAGTAATTTGAATTAAGTAGAACGTGACCTTATCATTTAAGTTATGCAAATGGCCAGTACACTATTGAGTGTACTATTGCTTGTGCCTTCAAAGTCATTTTAGATAATCACTAGGATACTACAAACCAAATGCTGTCCTTTGATGGTAGTTTCTATGCCCCTGCCTACTTCATAATCACATGAGATGGGAGACACGTGGTAGATTTCTTGAAAACTTTTGAACTTCCAGCTAAACTGTTTGTGTACGTCCTCAGAGATTAGCAGTATCAGACAGAGTACATGCTCCGCACAACAGATAATGGGAGTCAGACAGGCGCTGTGGCACAGTGATTATGTGATTTAGGGTCACTTTAAAATAGGCCAGTGCATTACTATGTACCAACCACTAGTAATTGTTTTTACTTTTTTGTTTCTTACTTATTAACATATGTTTATACTATATGGTTAGTAACACAATTTTCATCAAATACTTACCTGTTTAATCCGGTAGAGAATGAAATGTAATAGACTAACGTATGGCTAACTAGTACATTTAATTAAGAGATGCTCTATCAAAGTGTCTCATAGTGGTATATGAAGCAAAATAAGATGTCTAGCTCTGCCTATTTTAATGAAGACTTGACAGAAGTAAGAGAGAGGGAGCAAAACACCATTTACAGCCAAAGGCAGAGACGAATAATGCAAATATACAGGATGGAAAATGCTGTAATGTAGTGACAATGAATCTCCTACTGCCATAGATATAGCAAGAGGCTCCCAAAAGAACACTTCTTATCTCGTCAATCAGAGTTCTCCAACCATGTTCCTGGAGAGCTACCCTCCTGTAGATTTTCACTCCAACCACAGTTGTAACTAACCTGATTCAGTTTATCAACCAGCTAATTATTAGAAACAGGTGCGCTAGATTAAGGTAGGAGTGAAAACCTACAGGACGGTAGCTCTCCGGGAACAGGGTTGGAGTGAAAACCTACAGGACGGTAGCTCTCCAGGAAAAGGGTAGGAGAGCCCTGCTCTAAATGATGCTACACAAAATTGTGTGGTTCTGATTATGTGTGTCTGTTGGAGTGAATGAGATTATGAACATTAGTTGTGATACTGTGAGTGTCTGAGAAACAGAAAAAGTGGACAAGAGTATGTGAAAAGAGTATGTGGGCAAGCATTAAAACGAGCGTGGTAAAAAATGTTGTCCTGCTAAATTAGCAATACCATACAGAATAGCCTACATATTGTTGTCTATGTGTGCTGTATGTGTGCTGTGTGCAGGGGTTATGGTGTGTATTAATCCCAGGCCAGTTGACTTCTCGAAAAGTTCAGCCCTGCAAGTGAAACACACATTTCTCATTTAATATTTCTCTCAGTGGCTCATTCAACTTGAAAAGAAAATTGTATTCCAAAACACAGTATAAGAAATGTTATTGCAGAAGTTCTGACAGCGGTAGGCTTGCTTTTCTGAGATTCAGGTTGTTAAATACACTGAATGACAAAACATAGGAGTGAAATATTTAGAGATGTCATCAAAGCAGACTCCTTGGTGCCTCCAGTGACACTTTTTTATAAGGCATCAAGCGTGCTCCAGGGGTGTCAATGGTCCCTGCATTAGTGCTGTGAGAGAGTGGTTTGAGAGGATGAAGTAGGTGGTGTGTATGTGTGCATCGTGATAGAGTGTGTATTGTACTCACAGGGGGCTCCAGTGAACATGATGGAGAACAGGTTGATGGCCATGGTGATAGCATAGAAGACAGGGAGAGCTCTCAGGCCGTTGGGAACAGGGTCCTCCTGAGGAAGACAGGATGGGTAATATCTGGCTCGGAGTACATAGTTAAGGATCTCTTCTTAAATATCACTGTTATTTCATATATTCCTCAGATACTCCCCATGTTGTGTTGAAACAGTCATTTTATCCTTCTACATTCACTCCCCAGAGGAAGGTTTAAACACTAAAAACAAGAGTGAATTACAGGTTTAGCCCTCTTACCTTATTCAGGATGAACTTTCGAACGAAATAGAAGAGAATTGCTGACATGATGCCTGACAGCAGAGGTGAGAGGAACCAAGATGCCACTACAGAGAGAAAAGAGGGGCATTTTAAAAGAGAATCCTTTCAAAGCATATTTTAACTAGTCTCTGACCAACACTATTTGTTAACACTTTACTTAACACAGACATATATAATGCATTATGATACAGATATAATGCATTGTAAGACTTGTCATAAGCATGCATGTCACCCTTTTAATGTAGTCTTATCATCTCACAATAAAAATGTCTGTGCAAGTCACTATTGCGGCATAGTCCCTATTGCAGCATATCTCCACAGTCATTTACATACCAATGCGTAGTAGCTCCATCCATTTGACCCCGTGATGACCTTTGGCTACCATGGAGAAACCAATTGTTGCACCCACAATACAGTGGGTTCCAGATATAGGGAGCTTCAAAAATGAAGCGGCCAGTTGCCACACAGCAGAACCTGTAGGACACAAGGATGAACAAAGTCCTCATTTGTTGCCCTTTTCAAAAGGATATCAATAAATGCTTTTGAGACCTTTCAAATCAACATAGCATGCAAGGAGTTTCTGAACTCCTAACAGTGACCATCATATAAGCACTCACCAAACATGGCACTGATGGAGCCTGCCATCAGCACGTGTTCGGAGCCGTTGTACATGTTCACGTCGATGATGCCCTTGCGGATGGTCTCGCTGACTTTGGCCCCCAGCAGCATGGAGCCCACCGTCTCAAAGATAGTGGCCAGGATACAGGCCTGCCGTAGGGTGACCACGCCAGAGCCCACCGCCGTGCCAAATGAGTTGGCCACATCATTGGCCCCCACAGAGAAGGCCAGGATGAAGGCAATAACAAAGCCCAGGATCAGTAGCCACAGGTAGCCTGACATATCGCTCGAATAGGCCGCGGTAGCTAAAGTGGTGGCTGCTGCAAGAGATGCTATAGTGGTAGATTCCATTGCAAAAAACTTGTGTTTGAATCTCAAAACTAAATTCTAAATATTAGGATAGTTTCATAATAACTTAACAATGCTTTCCAAGATTATATGATTAATAAATAATGAGGTATATTGCTTCTTTGAGATTCAATAAATAAATGTTTCAGGTGTCCTGCCTCAAATCAAAGAATATAGCTATTTTCTTACTCCTTTCCGAGCTCTGGTCAATAAGAGGCTAAAGGGAAGGGTAAAACAATAATTGTTATCTAAGTTTACAGAGCTGGTTTGAGAGTTTTCTTAGACACTGGGATAATATGCAAAGGACATCCATTGTGTGGTAGCCTCAGCAGGTGGTTGATGATATACAATATTCTGCAAAAAAGACAACCAAAAAGATTAATCCACCACACTGAATCAGAAGTTCTAAAGTATTGTTTCATTTCAGCATTTAACACTCATTACATACTTGTACTGACATAAACATATTAGACCAGGAGTTAACAGACAGGACCAAAACAGTCACTATGGATCAGCAATGTTACAGCATGTCTGCTGACAGATCAAAGTCAATATTGATACAACTTGGGCTGCGTCAAATTAATGACCATTGTATGTGTGAAAAAAAGCAGACAGTGGCCTTTAATTTGTGGAGCAAGAGCACATCCAAGAATTGGATAACCATGGCGTGAATCATTACCCTAAGGAGTCTATGTTTTGTACTGTAATTTGAGAGATGGTACTTTAGAAATCATGTATGATGGCTCAAATTTAATTTAAATCTCTGAAATAATACAGTATAAAAGTAGTTTTTCTGTAGGCCTTCACAAGTTCATACACTAACATAAAAGTAACATACTTATATAATAAATTAGCACAAAAGTAGATTTCAAGCACTTCAAGAGCAGTGTTATTTGATTTAGTGAGGCCTTATCCATGTAGGCTACATAAAGTTATTATAGACCACAGTGAAAGAGGTCTTATGCAATAGCCCGACTAGGCAACCAGAAAATACCACAGTTCTGTGTCTTGCATAACTTGCAATGAATAACTGACTGGTTAGGCTGCTTCACATGTGCTTTATACTAAAACCAGTTATGAAATTAAAACAAGTGGAACATAAAACCATCATAGAGTAGTAGCCCTTTAATTGTCAAATTCTGAAATTCCACAAGAGGAACAAGAAGTTGCTTTATACTCACCAATAATGTAGCCAAATAAGTTTCTCTCCGAGGGCTGTCACTCCGCTGTTCGGTTGCAATAAGTAGGTGACATTCAAAAGGCTGTGCGTAGCATGTGTGTCTAGAAAGCAAGCATCCGCAGTATCCTGTCACTTGTCCACTTATAGGCTAAGCAGTCATTGGAGGAGAGGTCTATATCAAGTGGCGCTGCCAGTGTTGTTTTACGTTAAATTGCTTGTGGGTTTATATTTGTTCGGCAATGGGTGGAGAGTAGCCTAACGGCTCATGCGCACCGACGTTCATTTCTAATCATAAGATCGCAGCTGCCAGAGGCAAGGCTTAATAGCCTGTTTACAGGAAACATTATTTGCAGCTCTTTTAGCAAAAGGCACACCTTGTTCAGCTAACTATACCATTTTCTTCCAGGCGTTGTGTATCCTATAACTTAGGCCTATTACTTAATTGTTTGAGATTCAAATCTGAGTTTCAAATCATGTTCTAAATAGTTTTTAGTGGTGTTGCTCTCATGAGCACTACACATCATGGGATGCAGAAAGTAAATATCATGGGATGCATTTTCCTCCATAGCTTACTTTTTTGAGGTGGGGTTGGTGGCCCATCTTCCAGTGTATGTGCATGTGTTTATGATTACTGCAGCTAGATCAACCAATTTCAATGCAAGTTGCTTTCGACAAAAAAACTAACATATATTTTACAGGCTAGGCTATACTCCTAGAGTTAATTAACCAAAATGAAACTGTCTACAGTGGTGTAAAGTACTTAAGTAAAAATACTTTAAAGTACTAGTTAAGTCGTTTTTATGGGTATCTGTACTTTACTATTTCTATTTTTTGCAACTTTTACTTTTACTTCACTACATTCCTAAAGAAAATAATGTCTTTTTTAATCCATACATTTTCCCTGACACCCAAAAGTACTGGTTACATTTTGAATGCTTAGCAGGACAGGAAAATTGTCCAATTCACACACGTATCAAGCGAACATCCCTGGTCATCCCTACTGCCTCTGATTTGGCGGACTCACTAAACACAAATGCTTTGTTTGTAAATTATGTCTAAGTGTTGAAGTGTGCCCCTGGCTATCCATGAATAAATAACAAGAAAAGTGCTGTCTGGTTAGTGCTGTCTGGTTTGCTAAATATAACGAATTTCAAATGATTTATACTTTTACTTTTACTTTTGATATTTAAGTATATTTTAGCAATTACATTTACTTTTGATACTTAAGTATATTTAAAACCAAATACTTTTAGACTTTTACTCAAGTAGTATTTTAATGGGTGACTTTCACTTGACTCATTTTCTATGAAGGTATCTTTACTTTTACTCAAGTATGACAATTGGACACTTTTTCCACTGCTTGTCTAGAAGAAAAACAATAGTTCTAGGTAGCCTGTAATTTACACAGAGTGCACCAAACATTAAGAACACCTGCTCTTTCCATGACATAGACTGACCAGGTGAATCCAGGTGAAAGCTATGATCGCTTATTGATGTTTCTTGGTAAATCCACTTCAATCAGTGTAGATAAAGGGGAAGAGACAAGTCTCCATAAGAGTCTATTGACCCACCATCAATCTAATGAACATATATATTTTTTTTTAAACATCAAAATCTGTCAGTTTAAGGTAGAGATATCTGTTTGTTTCCATATATCTGTCTCAATTCGCTGCATCCGCCTATGTCGCCCTTCCCCATCTACGGTGGAAATGGGCAGAGCTACAGCCCTGTTTGTCAGCCAGGAGACATCCCTAAAATCGATCTTCTCACGAAAACGTCTGTAGCATTCGAATGGTTTGACTAACTAATATGACCACTCTACGGAAAGATGAGACTCTCACAAACACGATGGTGTTCTCCGCTTTGCTCTATGACCCCCACAAGTGGCACGGGTCTCGTCTGAAGGTAACGCATACAAATGGAAGTATGGAGGTAGTTTTTTGCTAAAAGAAATAAGGAGTTAAATATGTATCCAAAAAAACTTAAATATTTCCTATATCTCCTAGATATAGGACAGACACTTCAAAACCTTATTCCTTATTATTCATTTTTTGAATGTCTTTTTTGCCATTTATGAATGTGTTATTCATTGTGTTTCTATGGGCTACAGTATGGCTTAGACCTTTGGAGGTTAAAGAAGGATTTTAAGCCTTGAGACATGGATTGTGTGTGTGCCATTCAGAGGGTTAAATTAGCAAGGCAAAAGATTTAAGTGCCTTTGAACGGGGTATGGTAGTAGGTTCCGGGCGCTCCGGTTTGTGTCAAGAACTGCAATGCTGCTGGGGTTTTTCATGCTCAACAGTTTCCTGTGTGTATCAACAATGGGTCCACCCCAAAGGAAATCCAGCCAACTTGACACAACTGTGCGAAGCATTGCAGTCAACATTGGCTAGCATCCCTGTGGAACGCTTTCAACACCTTGTAGAGTCCATGCCCCGACGTATTGAGTCTGTTCTAAGGGCAATATTAGGAAGGTGTTCCTAATGTTTGGTATACTCAGTCCCTGCACATAAACTCTATGCGGTCACTTTAAATGTCAGGGGGTTAGGTCAACCTCCAATTGACTATGAATCACCTTTTCTGTGAAATTCACATAGGAAGTCTACAGGCCCATGGTAGTCAGCAGAATTTGCCCAGGTTTGACTTGCAACATTGCCCTCAAAACTGCTGATGGCTTCCCTTTAAACATCACTAATTATTTGGTACTCTGTGGTGTTATAAGTTGTGGTAGTTGATATGCACGTGATCTAAACCTTTTAGTCAGCATTTATGTGATCCGCTTGCCCCTCGGATGGAACTTTATGACCCATCAAAAGCATTTGGAGGTGGGCCAGGAAAACAGAGCTGATGATTCTCTAACTGAAGTCCTTTTATATTTATGCTGCACATACAGTGCCTTCGGAAAGTATTCAGACCCCTTGACTTTTTCCACATTTTGTTAGGTTACAGCCTTTTCCTCCAATTAATTAACACACAATAACCCATTATAACGAAGAAAAAAAGGTTTTTTATACATTTATTTAAAATAAAAAAGTATTCAGAGCCTTTACTCAGTACTTTGTTGTAGCACCTTTAGCAGCGATTACAGCCTTGCTTCTTCTTGGGTATGATGCTACAAGCTTGGCACACCTGTATTTGGGGAGTTTCTCCCATTCTTCTCTGCAGATCCTTTCAAGCGCTATCATGTTGAATGGGGAGCGTCGCTGCACAGCTATTTTCAGGTCTCTCCAAAGATGTTCGATTGGGTTCAAGTCCGGGCTCTGGCTGGGCCACTCAAGGACATTGAGAGACTTGTCCCGATGCCACTCCTGCGTTGTCTTGGCTGTGTGCTTAGGGTCATTGTTCTGTTGGAAGGTGAACCTTCGCCCCAGTCTGAGGTCCTGAGTGCTCTGGAGCAGTTTAAAAAAATCAAGGATCTCTCTGTACTTTGCTCCGTTAATTGTTGCCTCAATCCTGACTGGTCTCCCAGTCCCTGCCGCTGAATAACATGCCCACAGCATGATGCTGCCACCATCATGCTTCACCGTAGGGATGGTGCCAGGTTTCCTCCAGACGTGACGCTTGGCATTCAGGCCAAAGAGTTCAATCTTGGTTTCATCAGACCAGAGAATCTTGTTTCTCATGGTCTGAGAGTCTTTGGGTGCCTTTTGGCAAACTCCAAGCGGGTTGTCATGTGCCTTTTACTGAGGAGTGGCTTCCGTCTGGCCACTACCATAAAGGCCTGATTGGTGGAGTGCTGCAGAGATGGTTGTCCTTCTGGAAGGTTCTCCCATCTAGAGCTCTGTCAGAGTGACCATCGGGTTCTTGGTCACCTCCCTGACCAAGGCCCTTCTCCCCTGATTGCTCAGTTTGGCCGGGCAGCCAGCTCTAGGAAGAGTCTTGGTGGTTCCAAACTTCTTCCATTTAAGAATGATGAAGGCCACTGTGTTCTTGGGGACCTTCAATGCTGCAGAAATGTTTTGGTACCCTTCCCCAGATCTGTGCCTCGACACAATCCTGTCTCGGAGCTCTACGGACAATTCCTTCGACCTCATGGCTTGGTTTTTGCTTTGACATGCACTGTCAACTGTTAGACCTTATATAGACAGGCGTGTACCTTTCCAAATCATGTCCAATCAATTGAATTTACCAGAGGTGGACTCCAATCAATGATGATCAATGGAAACAGGATGCACCGGAGCTCTATATCGAGTCTCATAGCAAAGGGTCTGTATACTTATGTAAATAAGGTACAGTGGGGAAAAAAAGTATTTAGTCAGCCACCAATTGTGCAAGTTCTCCCACTTAAAAAGATGAGAGAGGCCTGTAATTTTCATCATAGGTACACGTCAACTATGACAGACAAAATGAGAAAAAAAAATCCAGAAAATCACATTGTAGGATTTTTAATGAATTTATTTGCAAATTATGGTGGAAAATAAGTATTTGGTCAATAACAAAAGTTTCTCAATACTTTGTTATATACCCTTTGTTGGCAATGACACAGGTCAAACATTTTCTGTAAGTCTTCACAAGGTTTTCACACACTGTTGCTGGTATTTTGGCCCATTCCTCCATGCAGATCTCCTCTAGAGCAGTGATGTTTTGGGGCTGTCGCTGGGCAACACAGACTTTCAACTCCCTCCAAAGATTTTCTATGGGGTTGAGATCTGGAGACTGGCTAGGCCACTCCAGGACCTTGAAATGCTTCTTACGAAGCCACTCCTTCATTGCCCGGGCGGTGTGTTTGGGATCATTGTCATGCTGAAAGACCCAGCCATGTTTCATCTTCAATGCCCTTGCTGATGGAAGGAGGCTTTCACTCAAAATCTCACGATACATGGCCCCATTCATTCTTTCCTTTACACGGATCAGTCGTCCTGGTCCCTTTGCAGAAAAACAGCCCCAAAGCATGATGTTTCCACCCCCATGCTTCACAGTAGGTATGGTGTTCTTTGGATGCAACTCAGCATTCTTTGTCCTCCAAACGTTCTATTTTGGTTTCATCTGACCATATGACATTCTCCCAATCCTCTTCTGGATCATCCAAATGCACTCTAGCAAACTTCAGACGGGCCTGGACATGTACTGGCTTAAGCAGGGGGACACGTCTGGCACTGCAGGATTTGAGTCCCTGGCGGCGTAGTGTGTTACTGATGGTAGGCTTTGTTACTTTGGTCCCAGCTCTCTGCAGGTCATTCACTAGGTCCCCCTGTTTGGTTCTGGGATTTTTGCTCACCGTTCTTGTGATCATTTT